CAGTGAACTAAAAGCGGCTATAGTAATAATAAGTTCGCAAGTTCAACCCTTAGTTTCGGTAATATTATAAGGACCAATGTAACGTAAAATCCAAATAATACGTTCGAAATGCTATACCGACAATCAATTGTTATTATCTAAGGAAATATTTCTTTTTTATTAATAATTATATCCAGCTTACTCTCGTTTGAATTATTAGTTCATGAACGCTGAAACGTCTCGAATTTAAAATCAAATTCAGTATAATACTTAACAGTATAATGCATTTAAACACGCTTAAGAGCAAAAAAACAGAAAATTTGCGATCCATTCCATAACGGCAGGTCCGCACGAAATTCGCGTGAAACCTTAACATTACTGGCTATGCAGATCCGCTCCGTTGCACGGCCATCCTAACGGACTGATGCGCGGCGTTAATTGTGAAAGTGGTACCGCGTTTCGCCGCGGCGGCGGGGGGCGCGCGCGTCGCGTTTACCTGCGCGCGGGCAAACAGCACGCAAGAGATCCACTGTTATGACAGCCGTGTACCGACCAAAATCGTGCGTCACTATAAGAATTCGTAACAAACGTTTGTTCGAAGGCAAGCTTTTACTTACTCGTACTTGAGCTCCATCGAAAGTACCACAACTAGATGGCTCAAACGGATATTGAAATGAATCGAAACGGGAAGAAAATCGCCCACGGACGGAAGTTTATAGGGTTAGAACACTTTTATCGGCGACTATAAACTATTGATCTTAGCAAGACGACATTTATTCAAGCGTCAATCATTCAGTCGCAAACGAATGGGGAGCAAACACACGCACAAGCTGTTTTCTCCATAACATGACTGCAATATCAAATAACATTTTTTATCGGAATCACGGTTGCTCGTATTCGGTTTCGGTTAGATATACTCTGAAACTTAACGACCGGACGCTCTCATCGGAAGCCCTACGGCGATTGAAGTGACAACGTCGCGCCGACCGCTTTTAGTGCAGGATCATTGTCCTCGTGGCTGGAGCCAGGACTTGGCGTCGCGGTCCACCGCCGTCGGGGTCGTCGACCACGGCCCACCTGAACTAATGCACCCGTCTCACGATAAACATTCGCCTCTACATTTCTCGGCGTTTGCCCGCGCTGTTGTGTTACTTATTTGCGCTCGACACCTTCTCGGAAGTTTCTTTGTTGCTCTTTGAATTTGACTAGCACAGTTTTTTTTTTTAGTTTTGACAAAGCTTACCAGTTTCTGTCGATTATCTGAATCTTTGATTGTCTTTGGAACAAGGTACAGTTGGCTTGATTAAGGCTAGCAATGAGTGTAGCTCAGGTAGGTTTTGCCTTTTAAAGCTAGCAATGAGTGTGGTCCTTTATTGGTCCGTTGTGGTCCATATATGTGGGATATGCGTCTTTAAAACCAGGGGGGGATTTTTCAGAGATGTTTCTAATCCCCGTAATTAATAATTAAAAAGTTAGGTATAAGAACATACACTGCATTAATCAAAGCAAAGCAGAGAAGAACTAGTGCCTCAGTGTAATCAACTCCCGTTCATACACATGGTTCCGTATTAAAATAGCTAATTGCACTTCACAAACGTCTCGTCTGAAGTACTTCGAACACTGAAAACAACATCACGAACCTCGAAATCTAAACAGACGAAGTTGACCTTATTCGCTCTCGCAATTACCGTCGGCGATGTGCTAAAGGCGCGTCGTATCATCTTTTTTATCACGGAACTCGGCCGCGACTCGCGTAGGTGAAAACCGCAGTCCTCCCGTTGGGAACTTAAACTCGTCGGGGAGCGGCGAGGCGTCGCTAATTTGTTTTGTCTCCACATCTGCTCGCACTTTGCGACTCCGATGTACCGGACGTTATCCCAAACCCGTGGGGTCTGGCTAGCCCACCGGTTCTGCGTCAGATGAAGCTTTAATAGTCTCGGGACTGAAAGCAAAAACATCAGTTAATACAAGATACAAGACCGGACGTTACGCGTTCAACGCGAAGCTGCCCGTTAGCCGGGCCTTTGTCCGTTTGGGACCAACTCACACGTTGTACGTAACTAGGTTCACAGAAGTACGAGTAGCTGCCCCTCAGAAGTTCTTGTGGCGTCTTTGAAGTTGTCGTGGGCGGCGCTATATGTGCTTGTATGTGTAGCTTTGAACTGACACCTCAATTAAATTAATATGTCTGTGAATTGGACCACATTCTCTCAAGACGTGATTACTAAATAACTAAAATAATGTTTTTGAAAATACAAACATTTACATTTTAATTTAATTAATATTAAAATAAATAAAAATCTTAAAATTCTAAAAAACAAATACCTTTTTTATATTAACAACATGATCAACATATTGTGCCGATCTCACCTAGGTGGGATAAAGGCAGGATAACAAGATTTGTGTTTGATTATATGGCTATTAATAAGTATGTTTTTCTCTCTTGTAATCTGATGGACATTTTATGGCTTTTTCTCCTTGCAGAAAACCGTTAAAATAGCAGTGTTTTATGTTTGAAGCCGGCCGTTTGTGATTATTTTTCCTCTCACGTAACCGACTTGAATATCCGCTCTCACGGGTATACCTAACTTCGAGAGCGCTCACCGGCTTGCGGCTTGCGCTGCCACCGTCGGGCGGTGTGTTCTAGCGCGAGAGGCAAAGTATTCTAAAACAATCGCGAACTATTGCCCGGCTACGGAAGTGCACATAATTTGACAGAGCGCTGAGTAAAGCGCTCTGTCAATCAATGCTGAGTTATCACTACAGCAATTCCCAGGGAACGTATTGCAGTAAAACTTGGCCTTAGCCTTGGCCTTAGGGATGTTATGGAGCTCCGTAGTCGCAACCGAAATACAAATCTAACCGAATCCAGTACGAAAGTTTCGGATAATTTCGGATAGGCGCGGAGTCTCAATTGGTTTTCATTGGAACCGAAACTATCGGAAATCCGATATAAAGATCTATGTGAAATCGTAACCGAATCCGATACGAAAGTTTCGAATGATTTCGGATAGGGGTAGCGTGTCTCAATTAGTCTAAATTACGCTATCACAGGTTTTCGCCCGACGTTTTGCATTGCTCTGAATTTGTTGAGGATGTGTAATTATGCTAAAAGAATATCTTAAAAAAAAGTTTTGAAGGTTTTTACATACAATCGATAGTAGGAATCGATCATTCAATTCTTGCCCGCATAGGCAAACTTGAGATTGTACGGGTTTCAAAATTAAAAAAAAAAACATGGTTTTGTTTGTTTCGGAGTATTGTTTCTAATACACTACATAAGAAGCGGGGTATATTAACTTTTCACTACAATATTCTTTTAAACAATTTATTTTTATATCAATTTCTTAAAAATTTAATATCCGTAACCGTAACTGAAACGGGTAAAATATTATCCATATATCCGTATCCATATAAAAATTCGTATCCATAACACTCCTAGCTTAGAGCAACGTATTGGAGCTTACTTTAAGCGATCGTTTTCACAAAACTGAGCCATCCACAAAAATTGTTTATGCAGGCGTCGTTTAACAAACACTACCTACATTAAACTACATATTACACTAAAAAAAAAAAACTTTAAAATTTTCTTATTGTATTACTACATTAAACGATATGTATAAAACATTGTGAGTGAAAATAGATATTTATAAAGTCAATGAGAAGTGAGTAATGAAGCAGCATTGTGAACTTGAAAACTTAAAATTTTCTTATAGAAGAAAAGGCCTTCCCCAAGACCAAATCTGTCACGTGATTCCCCTGTCTTTCTAAAGTGAGAGTACGATGTCTGATCGTTTCAGAACCCGCTTTCCCTGCACCCACCTCATACGATGTGCAGGGAACACTAAGTCTTTTCTCATCTTCTGAAACTGGTGTCTGAAAGCATACTCGCGTTAAGATAATGTTGCATAAATGCGTTCCTTATAATCTTAACGAGTGTGTTTTATTTTAAAGTCCTATATATGAAAACCTATTAAAAATGTAGCGTGAATGTTTATTGTGCCTTCTAGAAAATTCCCATTAAAAAGTAATAACATTATCGCAACTCCGTGCGCGCTCGCTCCCTTCATTTTTTATCGTAATCCAACCTTTTTTATGACAACCTCGGGAGACCGGACCGGTGCGAGACGTCTCTAACGAGCAGAAATTCTCGCCCCGCCATCTATTATTTATGACTGCGAAATCTGGCGCAGCGTTCGGAAAGCGTTTCATGTATCCGAGAACTGGGACGTCGCCTCTCTACTATATTTATGTTGTGAAGACGTACAGCGTATCGCCGAGAGCTGTGCCCTTAGCATCTCGTGGCAACATTCATCCAATGGGCTACTGGCCGAACTGGATTCGGACGTGACGTGTTGCATTTTGGTACTGTTTACTTACGTGCCTACTTGTACCACTCTATAGTCCAATGTTGGGAAATGCAAACAATAATTTGCCCGAATCATAGGCAATCTGAACCCGAGTTGCGTGCGATTCGAAATTGTAAACGCACACAAATTGGCTTTGGGGTTTTGTATCAGTATTATGATACTGCGGTAGACACTACCCGTCACTTTCCCAAGAGCGTATTGATACAGGGATTTGCTTGAGGTTTCTTTGTTAATACTTTGATATTAGATGATAGGTTTCGACTTTCGGGCTTACTTACTAACTGTACTTTATTATATATTATAATATATTAAGTCTAATAAAACAGTTGCTGAAATAAGGCAACGCAAACTGTATGAGTAATAACTTGTTATGTTTGTATCTTATGAAACATTTAAATTTTCTACGTTTAGATACTTAATGAATACTTATTTAGTGTCTCGCGCTTAGTTTTTCGATGGATGCAGGTGGCTCAGGATCGTGCTTCGTGGCAGTCTGTGGGGGATACCTATGTTTAGCAGTCTACTCGAACGGGCTGAAATGACGACGATGATGATGACTATTAACGCTATTTGTTTTTATTTTAAACACTGTTTACTATTTATTTAACCGAATGGATCGTTTCATTTCATATAATACGTCGACTTCCGCAGGCCTGAAGTACCTGCATTCGGCGCGTATCCTGCACCGGGACATAAAGCCGGGCAACCTGCTGGTGAACAGCAACTGCGTCCTCAAGATCTGCGACTTCGGGCTGGCGCGCGTCGAGGAGCCGGACTCCACGAAGAACATGACGCAGGAGGTGGTCACGCAGTACTACAGGTGAGGCGGGCGGAAGTGGAAAGGGAAAAAAAAACCGGCCAAGTGCGAGTCGGCCTCGCGCATCAAGGGTTCCGTGACGTTTATGTATCAAAACGGAAATCATGTCCTTTGTATGGGAGCCCCACTTAAAAAAAAGTATAGTATATCTTGCTATAACGGAAACAGAAATACATCATCTGTGAAAATTTCAAATGTCTTACTGTCACGGCTTATGAGATACAGTCTGGTGACAGACGGACAGACAGACAGACAGACAGACATAACGTAAATCAGGTTTCATAAGAATAATGTATTGTATGTTGGCCTTTAATGTGGTTTCTTCTGTTTTATTAAAATAATTTCGCCATTCGGTTCGCTTCTACACGATTCGAATTTGAATATTTTGCGCTTTAGAGGAAGGCAATCTTATAAAGCGCGCTTAGACGAACGGACATTCGGTTTGATTGCAGTCTATTCGATTCCCTAAAGTGTTTTCGTTTCGTTTCGACGCCGCAATGTATACTAATGTGTGTGATTTAGAAATGGGTCGGTTCGATCGTCGGCAAACAACAACAAAGACTATTGTTGCTCAAAATCTGTTCTGGACATGCTTTGTTGCTTTTATTACACGATACGAAAGCATTCATTAGGCACGTAGCTTGATGTTTTGCGTTTTGTTGAAATTCTGAAAATTGTAAATGTATACCCCGTTCCCAATGCGCTCCAACAGTAAAGCAATCGACGCCATTCCGTATTTTGTTATGCCAAATTAGGTTTGGTTTCCACGAAATGCCAGGAAACTATTCAGCGTACGTTTTTTGTTAATGTGCGAGATGTCGTCTAACCAAAAAGTGTTTAATAAATAAGTCTTGTCATGTTCTGATAGAAGATACTCTCAATCGTTATACGTTATATATATAGAAATTATCAAAACAGTTTGGAATTTGTCTTTGTCTATGTTGGTATAAAATAAAAATTATATCACTTACTATGTTCTAACATTTATCACCCACTATTATTCACAATCAGTGTAATTTATACGCTGCAAATATTTTCATATAACGCCGCTCGTACAATATCTATCATAATAGGCAGAGAGCCAGGTCAAAAAGATGCTCTGAATTTACTAAAACTGATTTTCTGCCAGTTGGTTATAGCAGTTGTGTACACATATATTCTGTTAGTCAAGCGAACTGTAGACAGGCATCTCATATACATAATTTGTTATCAAACATGTTATCATAATCTCGATAATATAACACAGTTTATTAATATTTTATTGTAGTGTATATATATACTATGGTTAATATATAATTAGGTACCATAGAAATTTTCAACTTTAATAAATAAATTGCACTTATTGATTCATTGTATATACTCTACTACATCTGTTCTCACATGTGATATATTACATAACCGTTAATTCTATGCAATATAAAATCTCTATAACAATTTTTAGCCTTAATATATACATTTCATTACCTAAGCAACAACAATACGTCTAACAACATATATGAGACGCCCGTTCTACAGTTCTTTTGACTGACCGCAGTAAGTGTACGCAATTCAGGGCATGTTTTTGCCCTGGCTCTTGGTCCATAATATACGATGCTTATTGCATTCTGTCCGTAAGAAGCGCCGTTACACATATCACGTCAGACAATTTACTCTGCGTACGCAATGCCAGCTTCTCATACGAATATACGTACATACGTATATCCGTACATACATACGTATGTACGTACGTACGTATGTATTCCAACAGTAACTTCTCCATAACGGTGGCGGAGGAACTTCGCACGTACTCGCTGCGATATTAAACTTTATGCCTGGAATTTGAGGCGAACGGAGCTCCGCGTCAATTTCGCGCGGAATGTCGTCGTTCTAGCGCTGGGAAAAGATGCGCCGCTGTGTCCTCTGTGTATGTTCCCTCTAACATACGTCTCTGTTATGGGATTACAGAGTCATTAAGATTTTCCACTTGTAAAGTAAGGCGAAGGCCTCCTCTAAGGGGGTATCAGGGCATAGTCCACCAATTGGCCCCATTGCGTATTGACGGAACTTTTACACTTGACAACTTGGAATTATGTGTATGTTGATAAGAGCGCTTCGCATTTGAATTTATATATCTTTTTTGGAGAAGGGCTAAAGTTAGTACAAATTATAAGTAAGAAGTACATTTTGAGGACATACATTTCGAAAGACAAATAATATGTTAATTTCTGAAAACGAGGCTCTAAGGTCAATTTCATCGTTTAAGTATTATAAATAACCATAATTGTAAAACTTGCAAGGGTGCTTAATTAACATACAATGTAATATGAATAACAACTGAATGATTTATTTCTGAATGATGAGAACTGCATTAGTGTTTCTTAAGTGAACTGTGAAGCATTTCACCACATTTTTCTCATATTGCTTCGAGCCTTAGAAAGCTTAGCCAATATACACATACTTTATTGCAAGCGTAATAGTGTAAAGATTTATTGTTATTTGCTTTCGTTTAATCTGATGATCTAAGAGTTAATTTTTGAATTAATTCACAATCTCGCATTGCCATTTCTTTGTAATTGTTTTTGAATATAGGACAGGTTTGGACTGATGGTAAAAGGTGATGTATTAATGGAAAATAAACGAATTACTTCAGTTATAACTAACTTCTTACTTCTTATTAAGCTCAACGTCTTATCAGCGACTGTGCTTTTTAGTTCCCAATAATTCGATTTCTTGTCTGCTTTAATCAAAAAAAGCAAAGATATTGACGACGATATTATGTCCCTTGCTTCTCTTTCCGTCTATACGCGACTCTACAAGAGCGAGCTATCTTCAAGTCCGTAATAAAAAAAACAGTGGTATCTAAAAAGTGTTTTCAAAAACGAATTTTGTACCAACTTGCTCAATCCCGTCCGATAACCCCTCATGCAACGCACACTGGACACAAAACTATTATTTTTGTAAACAAGTAATTTTTTTTAAATATTTTAGGACACATTTTTACACAACGTTCTCTAGTCCCAAACTAAGCAACGCTTTTACGTATGGGTGATAACTGATAAACATACTTAAAAATAATTTTCTTTTGTAAATAAATACAACAACAACAACTGTTGGAGGTTAGGATATAGTGCTTTTACAAATCTAACTACACAACTCTACACTACACATGACACGTTCACACTCGCATACACAAATTGTCATCACAACGCATGAAGGCTCCCAATAGGAATTATTATATTCCAATCATATAGGATAGTTTTTTTCTTATTAAATTTTGGTGTTCTAGTTTAATTGTTGTATTTCTTTTTGTATAATTTCTTTTAATTACTTTGTTTCCCATTAATGTGTACAAGCTATTTAATTGTGTATTTTTAATACCTGATTTTATAACAGATTCCAAGGGTGGTGACCTGGTGGACTGTGCCTTACGGGTTTTCAATACCTACTGCAGCCACCAGGAATCCACAACTAAGCATGTTTTAAAATCTTTTTCAAAAATTGTTTATCTTTAAATTTAAATATTTTAGTTGTGATATTAAATAAACCATTTTATTATTATTATTATTATTATTATTATATTATACATATATAAACACCCAGACACTAGAAAATGTTCATCACACAATATTTTTCTAGTGGCGGGGATCGAACCCACACCCTTTGACGCTGGAGGCAGGTACACTACCCACTACGCCATTCGGTTCATCGATGTATTACGATAAGCGGTGATGATACCATACGTAACCTCGACCGTTAAACGCCAGTGCGACCGTGGAAGATGCTGCTGGGTGGCGATTTGCAATTCATCGCGCGTACCGCTGATCCCCGATTCCGAGTAAACGGTAAATTGAAGGCCCCGCCGTCGTAACGAGCGACCTTAGACGCGTCCGCGGCTCCCAACTAGGCCACGGTCCCATCGTTTGGTTAGCACAACGCGTTCGTTGCAAAATTACGCCGTGTTTAAGTAACGCTTACCGAACGCGTCCTTTTCTATATATAACAACAGCCTGACTACTACCGATATTCGATAATGTAGCGTGGAGTGGATAAATCAACTGAATGTCAACGGCGTTGAAGTGGTGGTAAAACTTGATATTTTGATTGAAGAAGAAGACTCGTCCGTCTACATATAATTTGTTGTGCCTGCCAGAACTATTATTAAAGTTATTATATGTTTATTAACATGATTATGCATTCATAATTATGATATACGATGCAAGTTTAATGTATGCTTAAAACGATATTATCAAAACAAGAGGTTAATTGTAACAGCACCCTAAAACTTTTTTTATGATGGATGACTATTTGTCTGATGTGTAACCAAGTTCCTAAGCGTTCCTGTAGAGTCTATGTTAAATCATTGTCTTTTAGGTACTAAAAAGTAATTTTGCAATAATTACATATCGCGAATGTACCCCACGCTATATGAAGCGGGATATAACAGCCTAACGCTCCGCATTATTATTAATGTGAACCGCTATTCATTGTTAATATCGGTCTTATTTTGAAACCGACCGAACATAAGTAACATTTCAACGGTGTGCGGGCTTTTATTAATTCTCGCATTATATACATAAAGGCACACAATAGCGGCATTAAATATGAATACAGACTTAGGGAATCCAACATCGGAGCATTGCGAAAGATTGCTTTGAAATTCTCTACGTGACGAAATATAAAATTAATGCCCTTAGGGTCACCTTTAGAATCCACGAAATTCGACTACAAAACACGACTGTGTAAGTCGTGTTTTGTCGTAGTATTGTTAAGTCGGAAATTTCTACAATTTCAACTTCGACCTTTGTCATCGAGTAATGTTGAAATTAGATGTGGGTGCATAGCTTGAATGTCTTGGTGATGGAGAGCAGACGCGGGTTGCTTGCTCATTCTCTAACTTGTAACTAGATTGTGAAAAATATAACAATATCTTGTAGTTTGTTTTTTTAATTTATTACTACTTTTACGGCGATTCGAAAAAAATTATGAGAATAAAATTGTTACGATACGCGCGCACACCGACCCTCCAAAAGCGACGTTTTGCTATGGCAACCAATAATACTTCAGGACATTTACCCAATGATATCATATTCAAACACGAAGTAGATATGACACTAGCGCACTGAAACTGAGGCACTAAAATAATGCCAATTTGTTTAATTAGATTGCAATTTTGTATACCTAATGCTATCTTTTTCCGTATCATACGTTCATCACAAACAATAATTATATATGTCATTTAATGAAAAGCGGAACATTTTTGTTTAATAGGCCATATCACTTCCCCGGACGGACCTGCCCATTCGTCCAAAGTCGAAGACTTTGCGTGACCTTTGACACAATAGTGCTTATAAGTAGTCGTTATTTTAGAGGGCACTGATGAGAACCCTTAATCTTCCAGAGCTCCTGAGATCCTAATGGGTGCCAACCACTATACCGCCGCCGTCGATGTGTGGTCCGTCGGTTGCATATTCGGCGAACTCCTAGGCAGGCGTATCCTGTTTCAAGCGCAGAGCCCAGTCCAACAGGTTTGAAACATTCATTAAAATACAGTGTTAAATTGGGAAATCCATTATCTTCAAATTAACATTAGGAGATTCACCTTCATCATGAATGTTTAGGGTGTTTTGATGTCCTGCCAAACTCATTTATAGATGCTTCATGAAGTATTTCAAATGAATCTTTCATTAATTCTCAATATATTTGTAATAGCGATGTATTTAATGGAATTGATTTACGATTTGGAGACATAGTACATACCAATGGGATCAACCATTGGTAAGGGCGGTTCTCACCGCCCCCAGCCACCGATTAGCTAAAAAAACAGTCGACGGCCATCGGAATCTCGGTCCGCACCGCAACTTCGATGGCCCTTAGATGACATGCCGTAGTTAAACGCACGCATGAGCACATGCGCGCGGCCCTACCCACAGCGGAGGGCCCAAACCCGTGGGTTCTGACTAGCCCACCGGTTCTGCGTCAGATGAAGCTTTAATAGTCTCGGGGCTGAAAGCACAAACATCAGTTAAAAAAAACCATTGGTTTGTGCTAACAAGTTTTTCTTTTGTCCCATTAAACAAATGCAAAAATCACCTAAAAATAAATAGCTGGTGCCGCTTTAGGCACATCTACTTCACGTGTGGGGAATAATCAACATCTGCATCGACAAAAGGATTATAAACGGTTTCCTTCAAATGAAATTAACTTTATGTCCATTGCAGTTGATGATGAAATCACAAACAAATCCAGAAACACACCCACGTATTCAGATAAAAAAAATAATAAAGTAATATTATTTTTTTTATCGGAATATAAGAAAATAGCACTGTACAGAAGCTATTAGGGCATAGTCCACCACTTGACCGCATTGCGGATTGGCGGACTTCACATATCTTCAAAAAAATTTTCTGTTATTATTTCAAAAATTTACAAAATCGATGTTTTACTTCACCGTTGAGCACGTGATAAGTCAACACTTAAAATTAACCGCCAGCACTGGGATTTGAACACAGGTTGCTCAAGTATATTTAATTAAAAGCGAGGGCCTGGACACTGAGCTATCATCTCACATATCGCGTGGTATTTTCCAGCTGGAGCTTATAACGGAGCTTCTGGGCACACCTTCGCTGGAGGACATGAGACACGCGTGCGCCGGCGCCCGAGCGCACATGTTGCGCCGCGCGCCGCGCCCACCGGCGCTCGCCGCGCTCTACACCCTCTCCGTTCAGGCCACGCACGAGGCCGTACACCTGCTCGCACAGGTATGCCCGGCCGTTTCTATGTACAAGCATCGTTCTCGGTGTGCTTGCCTCCGCGCTTACTAGCGAGGCCATACACTTGCTCGCACAGGTATGCCGTTTCGATCGAGTGTAGTACTCCGTGTGTCCCTCCGCGATTACCTACGCGGTTCGTGCTAGCCATGCGCTGAGCTGCACATCTCTTCGCATTAATGACACCAAGCAATGTGGGTAAATCATAGAGCCACACAGCAGCTTTTCCTGTTGTTTGAAGTATCACTGTGTCTCAGATAACCGCCGTAAAGCACAAGTATGACCACTCTTGCAGTCTGTGCGGTGGGTGAGGTAACCGAGGAGAGCGTTTGTAATACCACCACAATCTAACGGGCGTAGAAGTCCATGGACGGTGGTAATCTCTTAACTTCACAAGAACCGCCTGCTCTGATTGCCACTCATGCTGCTGAAATACAATTTACTTCACGACAACAAGTATTACAAGTTAGCAATTTTTCGTTTACTTGTTAAACTTCCATTCGATTGCAAAAATGGTCCTTCGAGCCGGATTTTGCAATAGCCTTGTTACTTTAAAAGCTATTGCGATGCGCCCACAGATGCTGGTGTTCGACCCGTCGAAGCGCATCTCGGTGGTGGACGCCTTAGCCCACCCCTATTTGGAGGAGGGGCGGCTCCGCTACCACTCGTGCATGTGCAAGTGCTGCTACAGCGCCCCGCCGGCCGCCCGCCACTACTCACCCGACCTCGAACCCGTCGCTCCGCACGCCTTCCACGACGCCTGGGAACGCAAACTTACCACCGTCCATCAGGTCAAAGGTAACGCGCACTGCGCCTCCTCTTCTCAATTATATTCACTAATTCACCCGTGTAAACGCAGCCAGCGAAAGAGTTTAATACAATAGTATCGACGTGAGACGTGTCAAGAGAATGGAGGAGAAGAAAACGCATTCAATTTCTATGGACGTGTTAAGGGAAAGGAAGAAAATTGAACTCATTCAATTGCTATGATAAATGCTTACTCAGTACATTACGTTACACAAGTGGTTGAACTCTTTTGTTTGCCGAACGCCTCACAAACTTTACACTTCGCACGGTATAAAGTTTGCGGTGCGAACGCTAAAAAAGCGCGCTCGATCGGTCCGCAGAGGAGATTCACAAGTTCATAGCGGAGCAGCTTCAGACGTCGCGAGTGCCGCTCTGCATCAACCCGCAGTCCGCGGCGTTCAAGAGCTTCGCAAGGTAAGGCGCCGCCACCAACAACCAACCGCAACCAACAACCAACCGACACTAGGTGATTTCTTTGCGATACGTAACCTAACACGCTCTGCTATAAGTAGCGACAGCCCGCACCCGCGCCCCGCCCCTGCGACGCGTAGACAACACTCGACCCCCCCCCCCCCCCCCCCCCCCCCCGCATGATTTCTGAATTACCAGTCGCGGGAAAAGATGGCGCCCGTAAAACGTCAGTTTGACGCGTTCCCGCCATAATTTCCCGCGTAAATTTTTTTAAATTCGACGTTTTTAATATTACAGTAATGTTCTCAATTCTCGTACCTCTCCCGGTGTTGTCCGCGCGCGTCCAAACGATAATAAATCAGACGAAGCAGCAACGGTCATCACAACCAGTTGTGGCACGGTGCGATCTGTTAGTGTGCACGCCGGTGCCGCCGCCATTTGCGCACCAAAACACGGCCGTGTGACGAAAGCAATATGGCGGTCGCAGAAGTTTGCCTATGTCGAAATCCCGACCCTCAGCTCCGTCGCTCCCTTCCCGTCCGCCGCCTAGTAGTTGAGTTACGTAGGAGTATATTTTGCCTTTTCTTTTCATTTGTCTCGATAGCGCAACAATAACTTTACGCGCCTACGGGTGGATTTTGCGTGAGCCTACCTATTGTGCATGGATTTTGCGACCTGTATCATGAATTGAACGCGAACGCGCCGCGGGACCCGTTGTGTTCCAGCAAAATCAACCCTATTGAAATGTGGCGGTGTTGAAACACAACCCCCCCCCCCCCCCCCCTCGCGCTTTCCGGCCGCGATACGTGGCTGGCGTTAACGTTATGCTTTGTTTTCTCTGTGTTTGCCGCAGTTCTAGAGCCAGCTCGAAAGCAAAAGTATGTTCCCCTTTCAAGACGGCGGCAAAAATTCTACTACTGTCGCCCGTGATATTTCTGTGCGCTGCCTAGCGCTAGTGCGCCGAATGAGCCCCCCCAGTAAGCGACCGCACGCTTTAGCCTGTGTTGTCCGTTACGTTTGCAAGGCTGCAACGCCGTTCGACAAGGCAGCCCTATCTGCCATGCTCCACAAGAAAATACTCTGTTAAAAAAAAAAAAAAAAAAAAAACAACAAAAAAACGTTAAATCAATTAGTAACGACTGGTCATGGCTTGCGTTTATAACGCTCTCCGTCAAACTGTGTGGATATTGGAAACTGTTCTCTTTGCAGCCATTCATTTCTATGTCCAGTTAGCGTTGCCTTTCCGAACGGCATTAGTTCGTAATTTCAAAAGGGTTGATCGTTGATGACTCGTTCTGTCTCGCCCCGGTTCGGTTGCAATGCATGCCCCAAATGATCCAGATGTTTTCAAACGATCCGCCTTTTCTTGAAGCAATGGAGAATCTTGCCGATTCCTATTGTAACCAATTGAATTATGGACACGCATGAGTCATCCGAAGTCCAAGCCGGGAATTGCATGAAACGGGGTTCTTTTACTATCATCAGTGCACAGAAAATGACACATTGTGGATTTTTTAAACACGAATCAGCTTATATTTTAAACTGTCACATTGTAGAAGTAGATAGCAAACGCAGTTAAAAAAATCGATTCACTTTTGCTTATATTCTGGATCTTATAGATGTAAACTGATGGCAATTAATTTGTGTTGTTTTCTGTACAACGTGAGTCGCAATAATCGCTAACGCCGTTTTGGACGAAGGTAAACGATTTTTTAATTCTTATTGATTAGCACAGTTTACATTTGTCAATGGTATTGTGATGAATGCGACACGTCTTGTGTGTTTGTCAGTCGTATGTAATGGGCCGTAATGTTATTGTACACCGCAACAATTGTTATCTTTCAAATGTGAATCTTATGGCACACGATCATATGGTTTATATTTAGAGATGGCAATGCGAGATTCAATCCCTTTGTGGTTTTTGCGTAGTGCATGCGTAGACTCAGCAGCGAGCACAGTGCCGAGTACTTGGTTGTGGTGATTTACATTTTAACCTTCTGTTTTTCCTACGTAGCATTGGTCTGTAGTATTGATTTGTGATGCAGTTATGTGCCGTACGAGTTCTCTTTTATTATCGTAGTTTACATTTCCCCTGTTTAAATGAGTCGATATTAAAAAAAAAAAAAAAAAACTTTAAAAATTCTGATTTCAATCGATTGCAATATGCATGGTCTTACCGGTGCGTTCGCTCGACTTCGGACCTCCGCCGCTACATTGCAGCCCGGTCGGGCGTTAGAGTTGAAAATCGCTTGTGGCGCGTCCGAAACCGAGCGATGCTGGCGTGGGTGTGGGTAGACGGGAATCCGACAACACTGCTAATCGCGCCCGACTTTTGCCGCCCCGCAGCTCGACGGTGGCGCACCCGTCCGAGCTGCCGCCCTCCCCGCACCAGTGGGAATGACGCGTATACATGCGCGGCTTGGACAAGCGACGCGCCGATTACACCGACACGCGATAACCGACCTTACGCGCCGCGTCACTAGTCCCGCATTCGCGTGCGTGATGATTGGACTGTCAGCGCTCACTTAATCATTTGTTGTCGTTACTAAGATGACGCGTATGCGTGCGCGGATTGTCAAGCGACGCCGATTACACCGACACGCGATAATCGACCTTACGTGCAGCATCACTAGACCCGCATTCGCGTGCGTGGTGGTTGGACTTTGTTCTCCCATTAGCATTTGTTGTCGTTCATAAGCTTTGTATGTGACGTGAAATTATTTCAGTGAACGAAGAAATTTTATACCGTACGTCCAATCATCACTGCGTCGCCACGGACTTTGATTGCATTGATTTGTTTAAAATTAAATTTTTGTAAGAACGAGTCTAGATAGGTGTTTGCGGTAACAAAAGTATCAATTGCTTGACGTATTCATTTTCTTTCTGTAAGGATTTTACGTATATTAAAACCTACCTAGGCTCGTTCACTCCCATTTACAACTAATGCCGCACCATACCTCATCACTGTGACTTCCAATATTAAAGAACACCAATTTACATTACACGCGATTAATAGATTTTCTAAAGTAGAAATAAAGGAGAGCGATTAGTTTTGAACGCTTATTTAGGATAATTTATCGGAGGCAGCAACTCGCTTCGCGTGACGTCACCACCAAATATATGTTGTCCTGTTCCTTTTTCCGATAGTTATTGTAGCGTAACGCCAAGTAAACTAGACTTAGATGAGTTCACTGTGAATATAGATGTAAGGAATCGTGCGACAGACCAGCGTACGCGAGTGGACTAAACTCAATTGCTGCGCTCAATAATATTCTTTATACAACGAAACATAGGGACGAACTTCGAACGCCACCGAAGTCGATCACACCTTCGTCGGTAGGGATACTCCGCTAGCGGAACGATTTGCACTTGACGTGGTAAGATGTAAGGTATGGGTACACACTTCAATTAGTTAAGTCGTCTTAAGTTTATATTACACGATTCCATTTCAGTGTTCCGCGTGTGAGAATTAGTCGACGGTGTGAGCCACATTTGTGTTTCGTATGGACGCTGCGAGCAATAAATGTTGCAATATATTAATTATTTAATCGTATATTCGTAGCCCGTCTCGTATGTTTTTCTTTAATTTTAACGTCTATTTTATAATCGTATCTTTTAGTTTACATGTGTTCGTGTGTACTAGATGTTTAAAACCGCGCGCAGGCGACGGTATCGTACTTAAAAATTACAAAAAAAAAAGAAAAAAAAACTTAAAGGTTAACGAGAGTCAACTAAATTCTTAAGGTAGCCCGGCGTCTGCGCGCGGACTTAAATTTTTTAATTGTATAGTTAAGTGCATAACTCCTAAACACCATTGTATGTAACATCGACTGAACATTTTTACGTAGGCTAGATAGTATTAGAAGTATTAACATTATATTATGTATTCTATTCAAGATGAGAAAGAACTGACTCGTTGACGTTTGTGTCAAATGCGTCATTTCAGAATTTAGCCAAAAGCGTACTCTTGATTAAAGTGGCGCCAAATGACGTGACGCTTTATTTTTTTCTCCACTTGAACAGATTATATAATAATCTTAACACGACAAATGTGTGTGTAAATGTAGAATTGAAACGTTCTAAACCAACACCTCCGTCGCCGTAGATTGACGTCGTATAGCGAAGTTATGTAAATGTAAAATACATGTGTATTTCAAGCATTTATAGTTTGTAATGGTGATTTAAGTATTTTGGCAGTGTCAGTGTGCGTGTTCCTTCTTTAATCGGGGGGGGGGGGGGGGGGGGGGGGGGGGGGGGGGGGGGGGGGGCATTTAATGTTTCGTACTGTGAGCTAGTTTCGAAGATTGATGTTTCCATTCTTTAAATAGATGCGGGATTATAACACGCCGCTGTAACGTAAGCTAGCATAGGAGAACATTGTGTGTCGAGACGTCGTAGCCTTAAAACTAGTTCAAAACTATATATTGAAAGATTAAAAAAAAAAAACTAATTGTATATAGATAAAGCCGTAGTCGTAATTTTAAGCTCTAGTGTGGTTTGGAATGAAAGCAGTCGTAGCGATCAGCACGTTTATGTTGGCCTCCTTGTTTGATCCATTGCGTCTCTGGCCGCATCGCTTAAGGCATTACATGTAGACTCGAGTTATTATTGCGAAACAGTTTCAAAGTGTTTCCCTACAAGTCGGTCACGCAACGGTTCAAACAAGGGTGATTTGATGGTACAAAGGATGCGCGACCTCGTTCCCCGTTTACCGCAACCGACCGCTAGATGGTGCGCTTCAAAAAAGAACGGTTATTAAAAGAAATGAAAGCAGAAAAAAAATAAGACAATAATATTATTACAGTGTGCATTGGTGGCATTACAAATCACTATTCACAAGAAGGCCGATTAAAAAAAGTTTCGTTTTACACACATTTCCCGGAGCAGCGCCACCTAGCGTTCATTTCAGTAAGCGGGTCCGTGGCTTGCGACAAACCCCACCTTGCCTTATCTCAGATAACTGTCACTGTGATCCGTTAGGCGTAATTATTGGACTCAGATTATCACAAATAACCGAACTGGACACCAATTCGCTGTAAATATAGATGAATAGTTATTATTGTTATATATATAGACATATTCGTCACGATTTTTTAACGTTCGCTTAAAAATCGCTTTGTGGCGTGAAGCTGTTATACTAAAGTAACGATTGACTATGGATTGTATCGGCGTGGGAGTAACAAACACGCCGACGTAGGTTGTCTAATATATTCTTAAAATTTTCGATGTGTCTGTCTGTCAGTTTTAGTCCGTTTGTACATGTCTAATGACTCTGAAACGTAGAGACGAACGCATGTTCCCTCGCGCGTGTCGGTCGTTCGAAAGAACGTAATATCGGTACAGTTTCCTTATCTCTATATAACTGTTCGTGTTGCGTTTCCAGACTTTCAGGGATCTCGTATATTTTAAGTTCTAAGTACACTATTCATTTTTAAAACACAAGTGATCTTTAGTTCGTAAGGGGGTCACTTCTTTGTGTTTTTAATTATTACATTTAACACTATAATTTAGTTTCTCGCTACCTTTATCGTAGTAACTATATATGCACACTCGAATATCGGAGGCACTTGATGAAAGTTAATTCCGCTATATATCCTGTAAATATTAGCGAAAATGTGATAAGACTTTAAGTTTACAGGCGAAAGTAAGCCGAGTTCTTAGTCTGTCGAGTAACCGCCCCAATTTAGTTTTATTTCGTAATAAACCCTTATATCTATATATAAAAAGCAACAAAAAAAAACAACAAAACTTGAGAAAACGACTTTTTTTCTTAATGGTAAACATAAGACTACGATTTAATTTTAATATTATTACCGATCTTGTGTATATAGTAGGTATGTTTCGTGCACTGATTTTCTTTTTTAAGTTACTCTTAACATTTAGACATTAATATCAAATGGCTGTATCCGATTCTCGCGTGACACCCAATAAGTTATTCTTTTACTGTAAGATTTAGCAAATTGGGTTGTTTGCTTTGCGAATATGACCTCTGTCAACATTTCCTATGTATAGTTGAGTTTAGTTAATTTGTCGAACGGCGGGACTTCTAGAATTGTGATCTAGTTTGTTCAGAAAACCGACGGGGGAGGATTTGTAAATAAGTATACTTGATACATGTATATGTCATGTACGGAGTTAGTTGCATTTTACCACTGTTGCGAACTGCCAAAATGATTGTAATAATTTTGTAGCGTTAATGTATCGACCGACCGCACCGCCTCTTGTACGCCGTTTGTCATCATCATTTACGATTTTGAGTTGTCCTTTGTCAACTTGTGTCTTCTTGCGTTGCTATCATATAAAATAGTTGTTTATACTTCCCTCGAAATAAATATCGTTGTAATATTTGCTGTCCTCTCAGATTACTAAATTCAATTCATAATATGTTTAATTAAAATTTTTAGTATATTTCATCTTAAGTGCAGAGATTAGGACTATAAACATTTAAATTTCAATCAAAAACATGTTTAATGTTTGCCAAAAAATATGTTTGTATAAAATATCTGTTTAATTATCCGTGTAAACGATTATTTTTCTGTAACTATCAAGAATGGTTGAATCAGTTGATTCTGTGACATTTGTGACAAGAGTTAACAGCGCGCGAATTATGACAATTTGCATCGCGTAGTGCAGTCGGCGTTACTTAGAGCGAGCCGTGTAGCAGCTGTAACATCCGAGCTCGCCGCACTCTAACAATAAAACTATTGCATAATTACGTACTTGAGTTTTATTTTCCTTCCACCTTCCCAAATAATGACGCCTTCATATACATAAATAATATTGAACCTCCATATAAATAATGTTAAAGAGGTTGTATGGTATGTTCCCACACCAAGGCTGATAGTCACTTGAAATGTGAAAATGTTAAATGCTATTATGAACCTGTTTTAAATCATATCGTATAATAGCTATGCAGATGGAATACAATGAGACATAACAGATTTAATAAACAGAATCATTAATAATTTTATTTTTAAAGGTAATTTTTTTAATACTAGATGAATTATGTTAATCATAATATAAGTTCAATATATACCTTTAATATAAACAATCATCTTATCCATAGCCTAAAATTAATTGATTTAGAAGAATCCCTATTCATAAGTCTACAAAAAACTGCTTTAAACAAATGCAGAATCGTTAGGAAGTACATGCAGTTAGATGAGGACACGTCCTCATCGTGAAATATACACCACAAAATGCAGCAAATTCACTTGACTTTGGTCCGTGAATGTACGTAAAACCAGCTGAGAAAACAAAACTTTTAAGAAAATAATAATCGTTTATTTCTCACCACAAACCAAGTACAAAATTAAACTAAACCTATTTGATAAATAGCATTAGCTTGTGGATTGCTGGTGCCTGTGGTAGGTAATTAAAACATGAATGAATGAATATACTTTATTGCACACCTTTAGGCCTTCTCTACTACATGATGCTGTGCCTGTGCAATGGCACAGCACACCCATATTGAGCGACAGACACCCCCATGCCTGCCGCTCAGGGTCTCACTATCATGGGGGAAGGTTACTTCCACGACCCTGCCAGCCTGGCAGCCTCAGCAATCCTCTCCACCAAGTAAGGCGCTGGAACATACAGAAAGTTTCCCATTCGGCCTCTTTAATTAAACCCTTGGCAGAAGAAGCTACCTTAGGGTTACATTCGACTCCAAAATGTGATTTAACACTTAAGTTGAAAATGTTGGGAAAAGAACTGTGTGCTTATCGGAAGGACATCGTAATCTAACGAACTCTCCTAGCAAATGCCTTGCCCTTAAGGTTTCTTTTATACATTTAACTTTATATTCATCTGTGGTAGGGCCACTCAACTGTGTTCACTGCTGTACGAATGGGCAGGTCCGTCCGGGTAAGTACCACGACCTCACAGAAGACCGGCGTAAAGGTAGAAGTGTTACAGTTCTGCGTTTCGTCTGGTGGGTGAGGTTGCCGGGGCCCACTTTATTTAAATTTGAAACCCTGGGTTGCAAATGTCCATGGGCGGCGGTTATCACTTAACATCAGGTGAAACGCTAGCACGTTTGCCAATTTTTGACATTAAAAAAAAAAAACGAAGTTTGCGTACGACCCATAATGTAGTACGCTTGCATGTCATTCGCGCATCTACCTAAATACAACTGGAGAATCGTCTGGTAGCGGAAAATGAAAATTTATCCACATTGCAACCAGTGCAAGGTAGTATCAAAAAATATAGATTTGCATTAAGATCACTGACTGCCAACGTCACGCGATCGCTTTGGAGGGAGCCGGTAATGATTCTAATCCTTTGTAATTTACCAACCTAATCCGAGGCCGAGGAAGGAAACCAAAATATTCTAAAACCAATGGGCATCCCGCCAAAGCAAATAATTTATTTATCCTTTTGTGGAAAGCTCACGTATGTGGCCCAACAAGAGGGTCGTATCAAGCTCTTTGAATATGGCTGGTTTTCAAAACCAGGAAGTCTTACTTACTGAAGCCATTATATTCTTGAATCCTACATGTAGAGACGCGTTTGTAAACTTCGTAATTAATAACAACGATATCAGTTGTTATTGGTTTTTCCCAAGGAATGTTCATATAATAATAAATAATGTACTTATCACGACATTAACGTATTGCCTTATATTGTTGTGGTTAATAGTTTATTTATAATGAAATACATTTTCACTTACTGATCTGCTCGGGGACAGTCGCTAGTGGGCTTAGTGATAATGTATATAGTATTTGCAGTTTTGTTTGGTAAGTGTCTTGTAAAAATATGAACGAATATATATGACTTCCATCTCTTTTAGAAATATTTTCTGAGGATCCTTTCTTTAAAAGATTTTTTGATAACGAACTGAAGTTCTAATATCATATTTTTATTGAAATGCACCGTGAGCAAGGTTCCCTTGTCATAGTCATATTTTTATTTAATTTATTTTTAAGATTATTTCTTCCAGTAAGATTAAGTTACCTACTACTACGTTTAGTATTAACTACGGGGTTAGTGTCTCAGGAAGTTAACTTATACTAAACTTATACGAAACGAGACGTTGAGTCTCCAAATTTAAATAAAATAAGCAACATAAATATATCTGTCCTCAGCACTTGCTACAGCATCGTCGTTACGGCCAAATAAGCAATACAGAAATGACTATGTGTACAACCCTAAGACGGATGCCTTCTACAAGCTGCACATTGAAATGGTTTGGATCGGCCGAGCTCAGACTGTGTGCCAAGCCGAGGGCGCTCATCTGATGGTGCCGAACCGACATGACATCGTTCAGTTACACGGCATGCTGAAAGAGTTCCCCGATATAGGCGATCTCGTATGGGTCGCCAACGATGGCCTAGCCCACGAGTCCGCCGAGGAGCAGCAAATAATAAACTGTAAGTGTAAAATTTACTTAAATTAAATTAAATTAACTTTAGAACTAATTAGGCAGCAGCTATAAGGTGGACCGAACAAATAGTTTCTTTATGCAACGGATACAACAACTGTTAACTGAGAAAAAAATGTTTTCATCGTCTACGTCCTTCAATATCTTTATTTCTACTTTACATGTCGTTATTGGTATAATTTAGGGATATTGATACTTAACTAAAATGTTACTCAACAATATATATATAGTTTTCCTTTAGTGGATAAAGAAGTAAATAGTGGAAAAAGTAGTTTCAATAAAACCAGGTTAGTACACGTGTATTTATTAGTTCAGCTCTGAGACTTGATCTTAAGCCGCTAAGAATTAAAATTGTACAGAAATGTAGTAAAATATATTATTAATATGAAAGTTTTGAATCAGGCAAATTTGTGACGATGGAGAATAAGAACCTCGATTCTCGTAATTTTGACTATTGGAGGTTGTTGCCATGCATCACGTTTATCTCAATTCCTTAAAACAATTCGTTCTTAACGCTGTTCATCCCATTTTATGCCTTATCTACCATACCATACTACTAATAGCATACTAGGTAACGCATATTACTCATTCGTCACGCATATTTAAATATGCCTCAATATTGGACATTTGTTAAAATTACTAATTGTTCACGTTTTATATGAACTAATTCCAATTGTTCATTGACAGTGCAGGATCCAATGGACATGTCGTTTTCGTACAAGGGCGACTGCGAAGTGGTGAATCGACAGGGCGACATACAGACATGCCATTGTTACCGCCTGTTACCTTTCATCTGCAAAGCCGACGCGGCGACCGTGGCCTACGACCCTCACTGCAAAGTCTATAGTACAGGTAAGAAATACAACATAGTATAAGTATAAGCATCTTGACAGCTCTAAGACCCTTTGGTATAAAAGTCTCTAAATTAATAAAGACGAACATCACAAGAAGCCATCTTCAACGACACGCAGTCGACTCTAAGTAAGAGTCGATACACGCTAGTAGACGTGTGCGCATGTATGTTTACCTTTTAGATTTTATGTAATTCTTGCATATTCGTAAGCCTCATGACCGTTGAACATTTACATAGACACAGTGGCGGATTTGTAGTCTTGGCCGCCCTAGGCAACAGCTCATGTCCAAGATCCAGCCGGCCCTTTCTCAGAGCCCATCATATATCTTGTTATCATCAGTGAATTTTTTGTCACCATTACTAACCTGGGGCGGCCGCCCCTAATGTATGACCGTCCTAGGTCCGGGCCTATTGGGCCTTAAGGTAAATCCGCCACTGCATAGACCCTAAAACGTAAAAGGTTAACATTGTTTGTTCAAAATGAAGTCGCAATACTTGCTCAGAACAAAATTATATCACGATGATGTTTTGGGTTAACAGGATATCAATATTACGAGAGCGTCGGGGGCTGCTACAAAATCCCTAGGATCGCGAGCTCCTGGAACGAAGCCTACCAGGAGTGCCGTGCCGAAGGTTCTCATCTGGTCGTGATCAACTCTAAAGCGGAACAGCAGCTCATATACAACATAACAAACTCTGCGCCGCCTGTGGAACGTGCGATGGCGACCTGGTTCTTCTTTGCCGGCTTCAGAGCGCACAAAACCACCAATAATTCACCAAGAGTCTTTAAGACTGTATTCAGTAAGTACACAAAGGAATATTTTCGTGACGTCTTCTATTTACCTGATACCTGATCTAGTATACTATACGGTCTTAAGGTGGTAACGTGGTAACTTAAGGCCTACCATAAATATTAATATTCTAAAATTTTCAAGCACAGCCTACAGGCTCACAGATTTCGTTATAGATTTGCAGATCAAACTTTAGAGAAGGCCGCTTTAGCGCCTGAAGTTGCTATATGGACTAAATTTAGAAACGAATTGGATGAACTAGTATTTTGTTTACAGAGAAGGATGTAACATAGATAGCTCCCCAACGTAAAATATTAATCTTCTAAAAGTTTCACGCACAGCCTACAGGCTCACAGATTTCGTTCTAGATTTGCAGATCAAACTTTAGAGAAGGCCGCCTTAGCGCCTGAAGTTACTATATGGGCTAAACTGTAGAAATGAATTGGATGAACTAGCATGTTGTTTACAGAGAAGAATGTAACATAGATAGATCCCCAACGTAAAATATTAATCTTCTAAAAGTTTCACGCACAGCCTACAGGCTCACAGATTTCGTTCTAGATTTGCAGATCAAACTTTAGAGAAGGCCGCCTTAGCGCCTGAAGTTACTATATGGGCTAAACTTAGAAATGAATTGGATGAACTAGCATATTGTTTACAGAGAAGAAAGTAACATAGATAGATCCCCAACGTAAAATATTAATCTAAAGCCAACAAGCTCACAAATTTTGTTCTTTAATTGCAGATCAAACTTTGGAGGAGGCCGGTTTCGCGGAATGGTCGCCCGACGAGCCCAACAATGCGGGTGGCAACGAGTACTGCGGTACGATATTCAAGAACAACGCCAAATACAACGATATCGATTGCTCGCACCTCTACGCATTCATCTGCGAGAAGGAAATTGAATCTAACCGCACTTGATTATTTTCTCCTTATAGATTTTTTATTTGTACGCGAGTATTATACATGTTAAATGAAACTAGTTTACGGATTTTATCCAGTTATGATGTTGATTTTTAATTCGCGACCTTTCCAACCCTTTCCCTTTCCAGTCTACCTGTGACCTTGAACGGCGATAATGTCCGTAAACAATTTTTTTTAATATGTTTTTTCATTATTTCACTCGTTAGTGTTTTGTTAATACGTGTATTGTTGTCTTGAGAATATTAATATGTACACAACATGTTTCGTATGTTTCGATTGTTCGTATGTTCTGATTAGTTTATACGATACCAAAATCAATTGTGCAGGATCTCAGAAACGAAATAGCGCAAAGGTGCAGACTGTTTGCTTTTGGTCTTGATTTAAAATTAAAAGTTAATTCCGAATAGCATGACCATTATCAGCCAGACTGATTTGATGAATATCTTAAATTTAATTCAACCTGCTTAGTTATATTGGCTTTGTAAAACTTCACGGGTTTTCAAATGAATGAATAACCAAGGTACTTTCGTTTATGCAATTCAAATAAACACAATTGTATTTAGTCACAATTTATTTCATTTCCATCTTCCCTATTTTCTATGAGCTCTTTGGCATCCTCAGACGGTTGATTACGCTCAGCCCGCATTTGTTCACGCAATATCATTGTTCGCCTCTGTAACAGAAAATATAATATTTTTTGAGTAGCATATACTCAATGGTGGAGCTTGTAAGTCTGTGATGTTTGAAAGCTTGAATAAAAGTTAACCTATACAAGGATACAATACGTAAAATATTTAATGCGTCAATAGTTTATATAAACCTATTAAAATGTTTATATGACTACTACTTGACTGTTCAGAATTAGAGCTTTTCAAGGCGTTCATGAAAGACGGCAATGACAATCACAATATTAGTTATAACTAGCATTGCCCGCGACTTCGTCCGCGTGGAATTAAAAATAAAAAAATCTAAAATAAAAGTAGCCTAAGTTACTCCTTATTACATCAGCTATCTGTCAGTGAAAGTCCCGTCCAAATCGGTCCAGCCGTTTCAGAGATTAGCCGGAACAAACAGACAGACAAAAATTGTAAAAAAAATTATTTTGGTTTATGTACCGTGTATACATCCATATGCATTTAGTAAAAAGCGGTTATTTTAATATTGCAAACAGACACTCCAATTTTATTTATCTGTAAAGATTACTTAATACAAGACGAAATAATGTTGTCGGTTTAAAATTGAAATTATGATAACACTTTTCCTCAATATAGTCCACTGTTCAGTAATTACTATATGTAGGTATTTTGTTAGATAATTCAATAACGTTCATAATTCCTCCCCGAAAAAACGCCGAAATAATACATATTTACGCCGGTCGATGCGTGCCGAGAACAATTTACCGACAAGTAATAACAATTTGCGGAAAACAATATGCGGAGAATTTAATTTCCTCAACGAGCAAAAAGATTTTTTTTGAACAGTTTTAAAGTATTTTCATCCTTCATAATGCTTTGAAAATTATTAAAAAATCTATTTTGTTACCATTGATTGTCTTCTAACATCCCGTTTGAGGTCTTTCAGCAACACTTTATTCTTTCTTTGCAAGAAGCCACACTGCGAAAGAAAAATATTCAAGTATAAGTTTGACATCAACTCGAAATCAGGAGCTAAATGTTCATATTCAAGTGCTACGAGTAGTTATCACTGTTTACATTACCAAAGATTGAGCATGTCTCTTATATGTTCGGATAGTTCAAAATTAAATTAGGATGTCAATTTGTAGAACTTCCCATGAAATTTCGGTAATCAGCAATCAAAAATATGTATAACTTTTCATTTATATTTGTATCTTTGATTTTGAAATGTGGACACGTTATCGCTTACACTTTTTTTTTTTATTACAGTGTTATTTTACAGTGGTATTTATCTGAATGCGCTTTCGGGGCGTATTGATCATTTTTTCTTATTAGATTTAATAAGATAAATATAATTGTATAAGTAAATTAACAGCCTGTAACGTCTGGGCAAAAATCATTATTTCGTATTTTTTAAAATAATAATATGCACGTTATAAATCAGCACTTAAAAATGACAATTTCATTGGTGCCAGCACCAGGGATCGAACTCAGGTTGCTCGAGTATATGGCATTAAAAGTGAGCGGCCGGACGATGTGCTATCACGATTCTAGGTTCCTTGAATGCACCTAAAATCTTTTTGTAACAAATTTCGAACTTTAAATTTGTCTATATTAATCCAAGTAAACTCATAAAATAATCATAAACTCAATAAAAACCGCAGTAGCTAAACAAACGATCTCACCTCGTAAAATATAATGACTATAACAAGCAGAACCAAGACTGCGACAAAACCAGCGCCTATATAAATCCATATCGGTACATATGGTGAATGAACTTTCACTAGTGTAGTGTTCACTCTGAAATAAAGAAAGTAATACAATTAATTCCTTTGATAAAAGCCTTTGCTTTGTCAGACTTTTTTTCTTATTAATAACTTCGCCTTTCGTCTCATATGTACACGGAATATAAAGCAGTATTTTTGTCTTAACAAATATGTACGATGATATTTGTCTCGGGCTAAGCTCATCTGAAATCATTTATAATGTGTCTCAACGCCTATGTCATGTCTATCATGGGTTCTGGTTTTCAGCGAACAATTAAAAACTATTATGTGTAAAAGAGAATAAGGGTTATATACTTTTCTTTTAAATTATGTGGCAGAAGTTAAGTCATACATATATAGTATAGACTCTATACTATATACGTATAACTTAATTTCTATACTATAAAGTCACCTCATTTTCTATAGTAAAATATATTAAAACATAAAGCTTACCCTATCGTTTTAATTTCATAATCTTCCACTGAGTGCAGCACAGACGTAACACTAACATTTTTATATTCATTCAATAAATCTGAGAAAAAGAGTAAATAGTTAGTTCATTTGTGTTGTACATCATAATGGGAATATAATGAAATATTTGTGAAAAAGAATACTTCTTGTTTCGCATTGTAAAATTCGGACACCATTAAATAGTCGAGAATCATGCATCATGAACAAAATTTATGGCCAATGGTTTAGAAGTATATACATACCATTAGACAGTGGTGGAATATTTAAGTTAACCATAATGTAAATCTTTTGATTTTTCCTTATCTCGCTGATGGCACACGTTACGACTTTATCAACAGCTCCCTTTTGCATATTCAGGTAACATTCTCTTTTCTCACCATCTGTCAGAATCTAAAAACGATGAGAAGCTTCAAGTAGACTACTTCTTATTTTTAGATTGGATTAGGATAATGACTGTAGGGCAATATTGAATTGTATTTGCACGGATAACAATTATATTAATGTTGGTAGTGGAGTGGACCGACACAATTATTTACATAATCCATCACGTGGACAACTTTAATCGATAATAATTAGGAATTCGCGTAGTTTTTCACTATCGCATTTTCAAAGGAGATATTGATTATTCCAATAAAATCCAAAATTCGAATGTATCATATTTTGTATGTATGTACTTATGTTTAACTGGATATGTTATGACATCCGTTAAATTACAAGTAATTACATATCTTTATGGTATTGTGTTGATTTAAAATAGAACAGCTTTCTCTTCGCATCATTTGTCGTTTATTAATAATAATAATAGGTCTTTATTGGTCTAAAATCACAAATAATGTAGGTACAAGTAATTTAAAGTACAATTATATTAGTCAGATTTTAGACTAAAAGGTTTGTTACACACATTGTGCACAACACTGATATTCTACCCCAGCCTGACATTACACAGACTGACAGAACACTTTTAAAATGTTAAGTATTGAAAACTAAAATATAATAGTAATGGGAAAAAAATAACAATATCTAAAAAAACTTCACCATGAAATTAAAACATAATGATAAATGTAAACTGCCTTAAAATGTCTTATCATGTGGTACCAGAGAGCTGTTAATAAAGATACATCTACTTACTAATATTGGGCTTCTAATTTCCGCAAAAGAATTGTTTAGCGCAATCAGAAATCTGACACCAACCCAATTTGTAACACCATTGTTAATAATCTGTGAATAGATTTAATCAAGTTAAACACTTCATTGTTTTACTAAAAAATAAACACGAATTGACTTGATTTGTATACACGACTGGTTATTGGAATATTGTTATTTATGATACTTAACATGCATAATATGCACACTATAATATTTGTCCACATCTATGGTGTCGAGATTGTATAAAAACATCTCAGTATTTAGAAATATTATTAAATGGTCGAAATAAAATGTTCACTGTTTAAAATGAAATAAAACTTAGTGGACTGATAAAATGCATTGCAGAAGTCGTAAGCGGTTTACTTACCGTGTACAAGTGACTTAAATCAGTATTCAAGTTTACGTAGGAAATGTTCACTACATCACCGGGTATTGCTTCGCTGAAAATTTGTTAAAAAATTGTGCATTGTTTTTACGTATTACATAATTTCCATCTAAGATAATAAATACCAACGAAGAAAGTTAATTATTTAAACAATTTTTTTTTTATTTAAATATTTGAAAATGATTTATATTTTAATCAGCACTACGCCTAGTGGTCGAAATTCGACCATAATTAATTAAACATAGTAGTGTGTATATGTTTTCTTTATTAATTTAATGTATTTTTATGCATAATTAAAAAAAATATTAGTATTCTGCATTTCTTCCTTATATCAACTGTAATTGTGGAAAATTTCATACTCCTCCGTTCGCGCAATTTTCGTAAAAAGAGTACAAAGTTTTTGCTTCAGATATATATTAAATATGGATAAACATATTAATATTTATTGCGTGTGGCTTTTACGTTTATGTCCATTTATTTTATTTATGTGAATCTGAGGTGTAAAGATAACACAATAAATATTTCTTATAGAGAAACTCAATAAATCTAAATAGACGACACAGTCAATCTAAGCACAGATTGACTGTGTCGTCTAATCACATAAAACGAGATTATTGACGGAAAATTGAAATGATCAAATTGATATACTTGCTGCTGGCTTATAAGATTTTATTACGGATACGATAAACGTAGAGGACATATTTTGTCAAAAAAGATGGTACCTATTAAAATAATAAAAGTAAATATAACATTTGTGAAAAAAAGACGCGTTTGTTAAAAAATTGTGAAAAAGAAAAAAAAAACAAACAATTCATAATTATAGCATCGCTTATGATTAAAGTAAAATTAGCATTGAATAAATCTGTCGATCGGTATTTCTCTGCGTGATAGAGTTCGAGAGTAGAAGACATCCGCAGTAGAACAAAATTGACCGACATAGCTCAGAAAGTTAGCAAGCTGAAGTGGCGATGGGGCGGCCATATAGCTCGTAGAACCGATAACCGCTGGGGAAGAAAGGTTCTCGAGTGGCAACGTCGAACTGGACATCGTAGTGTGGGACGACCCCCCACTAGATGGAGTGACGACTTGTGCAAATGTGCGGAAAGTCGATGGATACAGGTCTATGTTCAGCAGTGGACTCAAACGATGATGATGATGATGAAATCTTTTGAAGTATTTGGAATTTACGACGCCGACGCTATTGTATCATTGATAAATTCAAGGTGGTTGAATTAGGCAGAGGAATTGATTTACTCTATAAAATTGAATAAAGAAAATTCTATGAACTTTTATACCGTCAAATATATGGTGATTATATGATGAATAGCCACAATATGAGGGGCCGTGATAGCTCATTGTCCGGGCGCTCGTTTTTAATTCAATATGCTCGAGCAACTTGAGACCCCGATCGATATTTTGAATCCAAAGTGAATCGTGGTGAGACTGTGGTGAGAAGATGTCGAAAAAAAAAAAGAAATCTAAGCAGTAATAGTCTGACTTCCCAGCCACTGGGTCATCACTGACCTAGAAAGCGGGGCACAATAATGTAGGTCAATTCACCTCATGAAAGATAATCCATCGATATCTGTTTTTAGATCGACGACCCTCTCTTCCGGAGTTCCGTTGGTGACGTTGCCACAGTGGTTGTAGGTGTCTACGGAGATGGTGATTTTTCCGTCCCGGCTCGTCAATGATTTGGTATCGAGGTTAATGCTGCCAGTGTTCTGGCAGGAATAGAGGAAAGCGAAGTAGAAATTTTATTTAGTCTAAAATACCATATGAGACGTGCAAGAGAATCACATTTGTGAAGAGAAGATTGAGATATTGTTGTGGAGCCGCGATAGCTTACTGTACGGGCGCTCGCCTTTAGTTCAATTTACTCGAGCAACCCGAGTTCGATACCCGGTGGCAGGACCAATGAAATGTTAATTTAATACGAAACTGAAAATTTGTTATCACTTTACGCCGTGCTCGGCGTGGTACTTACCCGGATGAAGGAAACAGCCGATCGTGAGGAGTTCAATTTACTCGAGCAACCCGAGTTCGATATTTTGGCAGGACCAATGAAATGTTAATTTAAATGAATTATCATGAAGGAAAAATCGTGAGGAAAAAAAATATACATATATTTCGAAAATATGTGAAGTCCGCCAATCCGCAGTGGGGTCGCGTGGTGGACTATGCCCCGATACCCTCTTAACAGAGGAGGCCTTTGCCCAGCAGTGGGACATATATAGGCTGTTACTTTACTTTTTTTTACAAGGAATTATTTAAGTTCATTTTATTGTTTCTATTATAGCTATTATATCGTGTTAATCATTTTGCGATGTTCTAATGCAAGTTTAAACAGAACTTAAATAGAATAACGCTAAGACTTTCAGCTTCTGTCGCTTACGTTAGGATCAACTAACGCCGGAGTTCATTGCTTTGAATTACCCAAGTCTGATTAGTCCTCAACGGGTTTCGTGGCTCGCAAATCAAAGTTGCACTCCCGTCTCGCCGGCAGCCGGGCGCTTGTAGAATCCTCACCTTCCCGACTCTGATGCGAGCACACGCACTGTAAGCTGTCTCGCCCAAGTTCGTGATCGACACGGAAACGTTCTCCGCATTTGACGAACCGACAACGTAGGGGGATCTGTTAAAATGCGTTTACTTTCAGTAAAAGACTTATACTTCGAACGTTCATTTCGGATATATCAGTGTATAATCAAAAAGTAGCTTTTAGTTTCAGCTTTAATTGAAACTATTATGTATAATATTAAACTAATATGTCAATATAAACAGTTATGAACGGATTAAACATTTCATAACAATTACATGAAGTAGTATACTTTAACCGACACAGCGGGGAGAACAAACGGCCGATGGTTGATACTCGTAGATTCAAACAACGGAATGACGTTGCGGCAGTTATCGATTAGCTTTATTTACCATGTGCGTTCGAGGCACGGGTTTTTAATTTCGGAGTCCCAGCCTCATATATAAGAGGTTCACTGCGATTAACTCATTCGCTGGAACGAGTATCGGAAGCCTTTCTTTTCGCATACCACCCCACATATCAGACAACTTATGAACCAGGCGTAAATTTTTGCTTCTACCCTCACATGTCATAGTTACCGATATTGTTAAGTCAAAAGACATGTCAGGATATGGTGGGTAATATTTTTAGCAGTTGAGTTATGTAATTTTGTAGTATGGCGTGTTATCTATCGACTATGTATCACTGGTTCCGCAGTGAATTTTGGTAAATTACAAAGTACCTAGTAGGTACCACATGAGCTTGCTTAAGATCTAAATAGACAAATCACAGTAGCTTAGAAAGGCTACCGTAATTTGTCTAGCCGAATAAGTAGCCAGTCTCCCGAAAATGAACTATACCTCTTAGTATTATAAAGATTATGCTTTTTGAGATAATGCAATGCCCTTTTATGTAATTATAGTTGAATTCGAAAAAAAAACCACTTACGTCATGGAAGACATAATCCTGGTATGCAATATTGGTATGCAAAACGTGGAACTACACCCTGATACCCAAATTATTTCTATAACAGAGAGTACGCTCCGGTCGCCTAGTATAACACGTTCAGGATTAAATTCCTTTAACAGCCTTGGATCTTTTTCCAATTGAGCATTCACGGTTATTTGTATCGGATACAGTTCGATATTTTTATCCTGAAATTAAAACAAATTGAAAATTATAATGACGAGTTACAGTTACTCGAAAGGCCGAGTAAAATTCGCTGTAACTTGGACCGTGTAAAAGAATAAGACCATAATTATGATAAAGCCTTAATGATTGTTGAACAAAAAAAAAAAACAATAGAATTGAAATAAATATTCCTTATATGGAAATATCATATAAGGGCGTAAATAATTATTATTTATTGGTTTCATTTATAGTATCAATATCAATAATTTCGTACTTGATTCGAATCCTACGAAACACACGACGCAGATATACAGAGACATTGTAAACAGTCGTAGAAAAATAAATTAAGTAGTAATTAGCAAGCTGATACCAACCAACGGAGATAAAATTACGACATCTTTGCAGTATATAGTTTTATTTCGGCGTAAGGTCTCGATATATGAAAATATGCCGTTTTTACTCTCCTCTAATCTAGCGCTCGGATGCATAGTGCTAACTTTAACTAATATATCTGGAAGAAACAATTGTTACATTTAAAATGTGGAACACTATGCTTATACCAAAGAAATTACAGTTTATAAAAATAGCAAAATCAAAATGGAGTTCTTACTTGCTACAATATTTTTGGGCCTGTTAGCAAACGACACGTTAAGGCATGTTTGAATAGAAAACTTTTCTTTATCCGTGGCCATCTGATTCTGCAAGCAAAAATAAAAAATTTTTTTTTTTAGATGTAGTAATTTAGTTTGTTAACAGAGTGTAAAAGTGTTACAAATGTCTTAATTAGAGAGGCCAAAACAGCATGGACATGAAATTAGGCGGGATTTAAACAATGGTACTAAGAGAGACAAAAAAATTAGGGCTAGGCGCACTCAGGGAAGAAATCTCTCAGAAGACTGGAGTGAACTAGAAGTCCGCTTCACGCCAATTTTGCGATTTTTGCGTTTCGTCTGGTGAGTAGGAAAACCGGCGCGAGGAACTTTTTAAGTGGTTGGCATCACATCTGCACCTTTTAAGGTATTGGTTTCATGAGGATCACTTAGGTAGTTTTAACTTTGTTCATATGAGCATTAACTCGAATTGATTGTTAATGTTTCAATGTATTGTATTACGCATTCTAATTTTTTTCTAGTTGTGAGAAAACTGTTCAAGTGAATGAAATTGTGTTTGACACATTTCAACAGTAATTAATCGCTGATACAATGAACAAATTAGGTTTATTTTAGTCATTATTTTGATGTAATTAAAGTTTAAAAATATAAGTACTAATACATATTTACGACATATGTGCAAAAGAATTTAATTTACCTGTAGGTTAGGCAGCACGGTAAATAGTTTGACATTAATTGATGAAAAACAATTCAGCATAAAAACAGCATTGCTGTACGGGGCCCCAACTGCTAATTCTATAAACAAAAATATCACAATGTTGTTTAAACATTAAAGCAATTAAATGCAATTGATTGTTTCTTTAAAACTATACAACGGATCTTGATGAGGTTTTTAACTAGATAGTGATTCAAAGGAAAGGTGTATATTATGTATATGTATATTACATTGCACCGGTGCGAAGCTGGGGCGGGTCGCTAGTTTTCTTATAATTAATTAAGCATGTTCAACAAACCTCATCAACATCATCGATGTTATAATCGAGCGGAGATTACTTATGTATTATTTTCTGATTTTCTAGTAGGATTTTATATTAACAAGCGAGTTAAAACCTTTTTAACCTTAAAGGCAATAAATATTATTTAGATAGCATCAGAATATAAGCAATTTGTTTTGGCCACTGTTGTTGAGGAATACGCGTTCTCGGTCGGGCAATAACACAATGGTGTCAATAGTTTTGCGGAGGACAAAGGAGTGTCCATAGTTTTGCGATTCGTCTGATTGGCAGGCCCCGGTGGCTTGCAGTAGCCTGCATCCCTACAGGTGTTTCGGATTACAATGGGCAATGATTATTCAACATCAGGTAAACTTCGCTCTTCCCATAAAAACAATACCGACATTGCTATATTGTATTTTTTTTGTTGCATGTTCAGTTGTCGTTAAACGAAATAAGAATTTGTTCAAATTACCGTTGCATCCATTTCCGTTGTATTCTTTCAGAGCGGTCATGCTAAGGCCAAAACCCTTGTATCCCTTGGGTTGTATTTTTTGCGCGTATTTTATCATCATTTTATCACTTAGTATGTTATCTGCTGTGTATATGTATACAGCACCATTGCCATCACTTTCGTAAGGAGCTGCAATTGCTATATCTGTTGGAGATCCTTCAGATCACTATTAAATATTAAGTCTACAAATATTTGTAATGAAATTTAATATCATACAAATTCAATAAAATCTAGATTATATTATTAGTATTCCTTTTTTCGTTTAATTAATTAAAAAATACAAAATTTACTGTATAATCCTTAGCGCCACACTAATCAGGTGTTATAGCTATGCCTTAGAACAAACTACGGTGATACAATAATTACAAGAAAAAAAAAAAATACCGTCTTTATCATCTGAATCCATGTCGCCGATATTTACGATAGCACTACCAAACCGCCCCCCAAACTCTTGTCCCCTGATAGTCCTCTTTAACACCAAATTCTGTAAGAAAAATACACTGTTTATAGGTTAATTAATTTTAATTTATTGGTTAGTATATACAATTATAATAAAGTATTTAATTATTAAAATATGTAGAAAAGTATTTAATTATTTATTTATTTATTTATTTATCTCACATCCATTAAGTTACAAAAGGTGTTAGGGTAATTAGTTAAATAGTTCTTTATGGACCCTGTTTATAGGGCATAGTACAAAACAAATCATAAATTCGGAGAGAGCATCTTGTATCTTGTATTAACTGATGTTTTTGCTTTCAGTCCCGAGACTATTAAAGTTTCATCGGACGCAGAACCGGTGGGCTAGCCATAACCCACGGGTTTGGACCCTCCGCTATGGGTAGGGTCGCGCATGTGCTCATGCGTGCGTTTAACTACTATGGTGTGTCATCTAAGGGCCGTCGAGGTCGCCGGTTCGGACCAAGACCCCGACGGCCGTCGACTGTGCATTTAGCTAATCGGTGGCTGGGAGCGGTGAGAACCCCCCGGAACGCGGGTGTACCTTGTGTACGCGTTGTGTGGGTCTCGCCGTGCTCGGAGCCGAGAGCGAACTGGTGTGATTGTTGTTACACTAACTGTGGGTGTAGTGTTATCCGGCGGGACCCCCGGCGGTGGGTCCATCGTATCTAAGTCCTCTTCGTCGACCGGGTCGATGAGGACGTTTCACGGGCGACGCTTGTTTACGTTCGCGTTAGTGTCCGGTTGGTAGTTTGCTGCGCTTACCACCAGAGGGTTGGGATGATGTTGGGCTCTATCGAAGAACCGTTTTGTCAAATCTTTAAAATGTGCGCGAATCGTCGGGAGTCTGCAATCGCTGTGCAGGTCGACGTTGCGCTGATACCATTGCGCACCGGTTGCGCGGCGGATAAACTTACTTTGAACTACTTGCAATTTGTTAATGCGCGTAGGATTTATGTGTGGGAAGATCATGCATGCGTAGGACATGATTGGCCTTACGCAAGCTTTAGATAAGAGTAATTTGTGCCTTAAGGGCATTTTACTTTGCTTATTCGTTAAATTGTGTAGCCGGCCGGAGACGAACGCGGTTTTGTTTCGGACTTGATTGATGTGCGTAGTGAAAGTCATACGCGAGTCGAACGTGACTCCTAAATATTTGACCATTTTCTCCCAGGGGAGAGTTTGGCCATATAGTGATATTGGCCCCAACTTTCTGTACTGGCGAGGACCTTTGTAACGGTGTGGCGGATGGGGGTTGGGGGTGCTACGAGTGAAGTGAATCGCCACACTTTTTTCTGGATTAATATCGATTCTCCATTTGCGGAACCAATCGCCGAGGCGGTCGGCAGCGCTTTGGAGTCGAGTCGTTAATTGACTGAGGTTGCGGTCTGAGTAAAAGAGCGCCGTGTCATCCGCGAAAAGCGCGAGATTGACGTGGGGGTCTCTAGGTATGTCGCTCGTGTAGAGCGTAAATAGCAAGGGTGAGAGGCAGGAGCCTTGTGGTACGCCGGCCGTGAGGCGGCGGCTTGTGGAGAGGGTGCCCTCGACTCGATATCGAAAAGAGTCGGAGAGAGCAAGATGTATCACTTAGGTAATTTAATGAGGTACTTGTATAAGTAGTTGGTATTTTGAGTGGCTATTTATTTTTATAAGTAACATTTATTAGTTTTAATTTATATATTAATTATGAGTAATTTGTTTAATATATTTATGATGTGAGATCATTATGTGTTATTTATATCTATAATATCCAAGGTATCTTCAAAATATTCTTTTATGTCATAATATGACTTGGTAAGTAACAATTCTTTTAATTTTTTTAGGAAAGTTTTATCGTTTTTTTTCGTCTTTTAATATTTGCGGTAGTTTGTTATATATCTTGATGGTTATTACATAGGGACTCGTTGAGTATAATTGTAGTGTAGAAGTGGGTTGCATTAGTCTGTCTTTATGTCGTAAGTTGTATTGTACAGGAATTTCACTGCCCTTTTGATAAAGCCAAGGATTTTTTCGAACAAATTTACATATTTCATATATATATAAACTTGGTAAGGTGAGGATATTTAGCTTTTTAAAATGGGGTTTACAGCTATTTGTTTGCTTTATATTAACTAGGATTATTATAAACTTTTTTTTTAGAGTAAAAATTACAGGAGCACCTGTGCTATTCCCCCAGATAATCAATCCATAGTTAAGCCATGCAAAAGAATAGGCATAGTATACTGCAAGGGCAGTTTTCAAGTCAGTAGATTTTTTAATTTCATTGAGTGCATATGTGAAACAATACAACACGAGGGACGGCAGTTTCATAGAGTTTTAAAATGTATCTGGAACCTAATATATCTATTGAACTGATTGAATATCTTTACTATTCAAAATACTGGAAGTTCCTTCAAAACAACTGAGGATTTTGCTGAGCATTTGCGATTTTCATAAAAGTCCATATTGCCAATCACAAAGCAGTTCACAAATAAAATTGTTGAATGGGGTCTTCAGATTAAATTCTCGTCTGAATAAATGAATAAAATATTGATTGACTCGTTGGCACAACGGCTAAGCCATTGGATTTGGCGCTTGGGGTCGTGAGTTTGATTGTTCTGGTTCTGGTTGTTTGTTACCAAGGAGGGTTGACGTCAGACAATAGGCTGGTGGTGAAAACCCTAGCCAGTACCATTTAAAACATGATTCACCTGTTGTTACGATCTAGAAGGCATACGTACATAAGATAAAATGATAAAATGCAATAAGTTTTATAATTACTACAGCATGTTATTGAAACAGAATTACCTCATTATTTGGCAAATAGATGTAGACAGCGCCAAGGTCTACGTCGTGGGCGTCATCAGGTACGTAAGCCGGGGCTCCTATAAGTAAGGATGCTTGTTCTCCACCTAATTTTGCCGTACACAGGGCTGCACCAAAAAGCGTGGCCAATCCAGGTTCACTATCGATCAGTGATTTTAAATATATCCCGCTTTCATTGTAGAAATGTATCTGAAAGTAATGTACACTATTTTTGGTTAATGCGATGATTAATTTGGTCCATGGTATGATTTGTAATGGCGATATTGTTCTAACCGATTAGTTATGACATAAATTAAAATCTGTATGTTTAATTCGAATGAAATGAATTTTAAGCAGTTCTAGTTTAGCAGTTTTAGATATTAGTTTCGATATTTTGCTACTTCACGATAATTTTGCACAGAGGTCATCACTACATCTAGTGCGGAGTCGTCATACACGAATATAGCCAATAAGGGGCTGCCATTCGAGAACGTTTCTTCCCAATCGTTTATCGATTCCACGAGCTATATGACCGGTCCATTTTATCTTCAGGTTCCTAACATTCTAAGCTATGGTCAGGTATTGGTTACGTTTATTCTACTGCGGATTCATTGCAATCACTAGCATTAGTTGTAACGTTTTAAAGATTTAAAAACCTATTCTGTTAAAATTCAGAAACTTGCAAGCGTTTGTAAAAATGAAATAGAAAAAAGGAACGTAAAAACGTATCATAATAAGTTGATCTGCTCTTAAAAAGCTGTAAAGCATATAATGTAAGTGTATACCTGTCCAATTCCTTTATTTCCATACGTTGTGCTTATAGCATAGGAGATATTCTTTTGGTCTGAGGAAAAGTAATTCCCGCTCGATATGCTGTAACCTGACAAGTAAAAACTTAAATCTTTTAATGCACGAGTATTATAACTTCGAAGTTCGTGTAAATATGCATATAAAACAACATGTACCTAAATATCTATTCTAATAATTTAAACGAGCAATTCTTGTGAAAATTGTTGGAGCCGTTTCTGAGATTCACATTATGTATATGAAATGTAGTATGCAGGTAGTTTCGGGGGCGATAAATTCTAGATAATTTTATTCTTTTTTTTAAATTTTTTTTCCACCAATTTTTTCAATTTCCTTCTTTTGTGAGAAAAAATCTGAGCGAAGCTCGTTCAACTTGTTATATAATTGCTAAGCCCGCACCAAGATTTGACTCACCTAATCTCAACACAATTCAATTAATTATTAACACAGTATGTTTAAAGGCATATATCATCATCATCATTTCCACCTCTTCGAATCCGCTGCTGAATTTAGGCTTCCTGCCACAGACTGCCACGACCACGAGCACGATACTGGGCCACCAGCAGTCATCGTTCTACACTGCGATGCCCAATACGTATCTGCCACACGAGGGTCTTTCTCACCCATTTAAGTTATAATTATATAATAAGTTAAAAGAATATTAAATTTCCGTTTATTGTATTATTTTTACCACAACAATACTTTTAGTAAACTAATAGTTATTTTGGTACTAATTAATAAAACATTTTAAAGTCAAACGTTTGTACCCACTTACCGAAGTTGAAGAAGTCCTTATTTGCAGTGTTATTCTGTGGTCTTATTAGTAATGGGTAGTCTGAAATATTCCTATATTGAATTACACGGCCTGTAACACGAAGAGCATTTTGCAGTGTTAGATTGCACGATTTGGAAGTGTCATAAGAGCTAGCGATTTTATATTTTTTGATTATAATTTCATACATTTTGTAATTGAAAATAGATGGAAGTAATGAAACATCGTCGATGTCCATGAGTTTTTCATTTTTAAGGAGGCTAATGTGGTGTAGATATTGCGCATGCTACCAATAAGAAACAACTTAACCGATTTTATAAGTTATAATAAGTCTGCAATACCTTTTGACATTGCAGGGCCACCGATCAGTATGTTGTTTTGAGATGTGACATCAATACTCCATCCGAAAGAATCCATTAAGTTTTCTGCCGAACAAAGTGTAATTTTATTGTTATATTTGCATGTAATTTAAAAAAAAAAATCTAAAATTATTGTTTCACATAGGCAATCCGAACATTAAAAAAAGTATAGTATTTAGTATAGTATATTTCATAAAAGTATAGTATATTTCATATAAATTTTTTTACGGAACGAAAATATATCCAAGATGCTATACATTTATCGCAGGATACATTATTTGTGTATTCTTTGATACAACAGTCTCATGTCATCACACATTACAATTGGTGGGGTAGTAAAGCTTCGAGAATACTGCCCCTTACTGAAGGATAAAATTTTACTGTGTTATGAGTTTCATTTTACGTTTTACATACATAAATTTCACGTGGGCAAACACTCATTTCCCAAATTGTCTGTGGATTACAAAAATAATTGTCTCGTGTGGAAATCGAACTCACGACCCCGGGCGATGAAGTCAATACCTTGGCAACTGCGTCACGGAGTCATCAACACCTCAAACGTCACGAGGCATACGTGCACATTGATTAGGAAAACCTATAGCGTCGTATGTTAAAATACATAATATATATGAATCTTTTTATGACTCTTCAGTTTTGGAAACATAATCTCTTTTTGTCTATCCTTATATATATTTATTCATCCCCGTTAGTTATCCAATCTTTACCAACTACGATATTCTTTTCTCATCTTTTCTTTCAAGCACAAATAATTTACTATTTAAGTTTTAAATATTCCCCACGAGAATTCCTTACGTTTTTGTCTTTAAGAACGTAATATTCTATAATTTAACCACTTACCAAACTTATTTCCGTAAACCGCCCGGTCGCTTTTCGACATTGCTTGCATTATTTGCACACTTTGTGGTTTTTCGAAGGATTTTACGAAACATCGCCCAAACGTGCCATTCTGGGTACCTGACCACAAAAGAGAGGAAAACAATGCTTAACAAATTCACTGTTAACCATATAACGTATATATACACATTTTATTAGTACTGTTTTTGCTCTCTATAGAACAATAGAGGTTAGCGTATGGACATTATGTTTAATTATGTGACTTTCTTCATTCCTAATTCCCAAGCTTATGGCATGATATGGGCTCGTTATGACAAGGAATGAAGGTCTTGTGACTAGAAGAGTTTGTGTACTTGTGTATCAAATGTGGTTGGAGGGTGTATGGCTAGTGGAAGACAGAAAGATTTGGATGGACTATGTGAAGAATGATACGGCTGTGTAAACTTCAATAATATAGTTGAGATAACGCCTGATAGTGGGAAGTTGAAAAAAAAAACATAACATGCAGACCTTAACTAGAGTAAGGCAGGGCCAGGAAAAAGAAGAGATTCATTCGTATTTTCGTATTATACATTCGTATTAAATATCTTTAAATTAAATTCAAAATTAAAATAACAAAACATTAAATATTGTATTTTTTTTATAAATACCTTCTTTAGCTACATAACGTGGAGCGCAGGTCTGAAAAATAATATGAAATTACAATTTTATTCATAATCATCACCATCAATATTATCTTTAAAATACTTAAGGCAGTGTCTCTGATGAGATAGAAGTGATAAAGTCAGTAATTATGATTGGATTTAAGCGCACATATAAGTTATACATCGATTTTTTTTTCGAAGTGGTAGGGCCACGCGATAGTTTTTGCTCAGATCCATTAGTGCGAGAAAGGGCGCGACCGCGAACCCATCCCATTCCCCCTGATGAAGGATCTCTGATAGGACTGAAACTAGTCGGTAACTACACCAATTAGAGTTAAGAGGGGTATATTTTGAAGATCATACAGACATTGACCGAAGACACTAGGACGTCAGCAATTCTAAGATTTGACGTGGACGAGACGTACAATAAATCATAATTATTTGACGCGTTACAGCCGCGGGTGGGCTCTAGTCTGGTCAAGGAAATATTTCCAGTCCGATCTATTAATGGTTTTCTTTCTTCAGCCAAAACCCCCAAGATCTCGGTATCCTGTTCGACGCCGCTCTACCATCTTAGGCTTAGGGCTTAGGACTGCCTCGAGTTCCGCTCTTTAGAAAGGTACGTGGTTCGTTTTTACTCTATAATCATCAACAATGAAGAAAACTAAGGTCAGCTTTTATATTTTTTGCCTTTTTTTTTTTTAAAACCTTACGGTTCCTTAAATGGTGTATTTAGGAACATTATACTAAAAAACTGAGAGGAACTGAATGAAATATTGAAATTCGTAAGCAACTAAAAACAATAATGATATTAATTTAATTGAATGAAGTTGAAATGAAATGTTATTTTTGGATAAAAATGAATTGGAAAAACCTTTTTATCTACAATTAATACAAATTAATTGCAGATTTTAAAAGTATATTTTATTTGCGACTTCTGACACAACATATAAAAGGGAAAAGTAAATTGTCTATATAAATGAATTACTTACTCGTTAAGTAAGGGTTAATATAGCAAAATTAAATTAAATTATTACATAAAATATCATAAATATTACCGTAAAAAAAGAGCTACCAGCTTTAACGTCTGCACCGAGCCAGTAGCCTGTATAATTTTTATCTTCTGAAAAAAGATGATTTGATGAAAGTCGTACAATAAATTAAAAGAAAAGTAATATTACGATATATAATAGTTACCTATTTTTAGATCAAACTCGACCTTTGTCGAATTGCTACGTTTTATGTCGTAAATGAAGACTTGACCGATTTTGTCTGCTGTGGGTGCACTTATCACTAAGCTGTTTACAAAAAATGATATAATTATGTGCAACACTCGCATTCTATCAAAGTCAAAGTATATTTATTCAATATAGGCTTAACTTAAGCTCTTATTGAACGTCAATAAAAAATCTACCACCGGTTCACTAAACTAGACCTGCATAGAGAAGAACCGGCAAGAAACTCTGCGGTCTTTTTCTTTTTGTTATTTTTTTTTGATGCAAATTATACACTTATTTTGGTATAGAATCAGCAGCAGCCAGGGGTCTTGCAAGTGCAGAGCAAGAGTCATTTCCACACAATATTCCAACAACCTAATATTGACTGTTCATACACCAACATAAATTTAATATTATTGAACCATATACAAACATTGATATTATTTTAAAATTGACCTTTGGATCTGAGGTTGATATGTAACACTGTAACCAAATAAAGAATCATCAGGCATTGTTATATCAGTCGATTTCATTGATAGTTCATGGTAAAAACTGCAACACTCTTTTATGAATATTACTTGGATAATAGGAATAATCCATTTTGCCACTGAAAAAAACATATATGTCATAATATGTATGGAATTAAAAGCATATGAAACAATTGCAAATAAGTATTTACTTACTCGTACATATCATTTTGTATTTAAAGTAGTTAAAAGTAGTACATGTATATGCCATTCGGTGGCAACCGTACCACTAACACAAATAATGATAATATAATATAGACCTATTTTTGTATTCATTTTCCTTCCCTTTAAGTTTAAAACAGATGAGGACTTTGGTATTAAATATTGATTGAAAGTTGTAATTATAACAATTTGTGATCAAACTTAACTTTTCATTTGTATCAGGGTGGCTCGAGAACTTAAAAAAAACGATTAGGAACTTTCAACCTCTCCGATAATATCAACCATATTTATTTTCTCGATGAACTTAGAATGCTTCTAGGCTTTATACGAACACTACGCAATTTTCTTCCGACTGCCTAAAGTTGCGCTCGTCCATTCCTTTACTTCTGTCCATCTTTGAAAATGTTGTTACACTTTCGAAGAGCTATTTCACATATTTTCTTTGAAATCAAACAATTTTTTGTACGTGTGAATGTAGCAAGCGAGCTGGCGGTTCACCTGATGTTAAGTTTGATGACTCCATTGCCGCAGTTGTCAAGGTATTGGCATCCGCGCCGGGGATGTGGGTTCTATTAACTATTTGTGTGACCCACAGATAGTTGTTACAGATCTGGTTGTTTGTTCGCGTTAAATTTTTGTTTGTAAAACGTCCTTACAACACAGGATAATGTTATCCTAAAGTAAGGGCAATGTTTTAGAAAAAATGATTAAAAAAAACAAAAGTGATAATCGTCGCCCATTTTGCAGCACCCTAGGGGTTGCAGATGTGTTGCCACCTTTTGATGAAAAGGCCACAGCTAGCTCATTCAATGCTGTTACGTGGCCCTATCACAGTTAAAAGCTCATTACTTGGATACATTAGAACTCTGATTGCTTTCTGTATTATTTTATATAAATCTTCCTCTGCTCTCTTCCCTACGATTTCGTTTAAACAGTTCCGATTACAACGACTGTCTGTAAGAAATTGCTTTCCGAGCGATTGAGCCAACATTTCAAATTATATTCCGATGACTTATACCCTCGAACATAACAACGATGACTCAGCACCGTCTCACAAATTCATGAAGGATACCGTTTATTATTTCAATACAATTAGTTACATAACAAAACATAGAATTGGAAGTTTTAGGTAACATTGATATTGTTATTTTGTATAGGCGTATGTAATCTTTGCCATAGGTACGTAATTCGACAAAATTACATACCTATTATTAATTATTACATGCACGTTTAATCACTACGTACCAGGAAAAGTCACCGAAGAGCCATTTAGTGCTAAGAACAGTTCCAGTTATGTTATGTTAAATATTAACATTTGTAAATTCATGTGGATTATTATTGAAAAACCGTCATAATGCAGATCGTATTTTACTTAATACTTGGGTCAATTAACACGGTTTTAGGTATGTTCTTTCACGAAGCGTCTTTTATCGAAATTAAACCTGCAGAAGAAATTCACCAAATGGATTTTGGATTTTCAATGGGATATCAGAAATCAGGAATCTTGGGTAAGTAAAAATGATAAAATATTTTTTATCTCGGGAAAGAAACTTGGTGCTCCACTCTCACTTCTTGGAGGTTCTCGAGATTTCGCAAACATCACGGACAAATGTTAACCCAAACACGTCCTGTGTTTGGGTTAACATTTGTCCGTGATGTTTTTTAACTATGCGTGGAGCACAAAATCTTATGTCTCATATCAGTGCAATCAAACGTTACCAGAAATGTTTTATAGAAACGTAGCCAAAAAAAATTTTTTTACACGCCCTCTCCTAATCTACAGTTTGTTATACCTCTTTAATTATTCTAATCACGAAGTGTACAGTACAATGATTGTATCTTTTATACGACCTAGTTTTATCTTCTTTCATACCTGATGTTAAGTGTTTATGTCCACGGACTTATACAACACCATGTAAGTTGCATATGATATGCACTTTAATAGAGTGGATTCCAAATACCAGTGAGTAATATCATATCACAGTGCATACAAAATAAGAAAATGAATAGGCTTCTACACAATTTGGGCGTTTACATGCTTTCAATGAAGTGGGTATATTGCTTAATAGCTTTCAATTAAGTGGGATTGGTAGTCAATTATAGATAAGCTTATCTCTGTTAATTTTTTTCATATATTAGAACTTCGTATACTCTTTTCTTATAGAGTTTTCGATGAAGAACCTTTGAGTTACCTCTGATCTGCCGATTCAGAGATTGAGCTCCGCTCTTGTGACTTCAGTCTTGTGATGAAGTTGATGATGACAACGGTGTTCTTTTGTTTCAGTTGTTGGTGCCCCACACGGTGATCTAAATGGGAGAGTTTATATTTGCACCGTCGGAGATATTATAAAGAATAATACATGTCAAAAAGTGGATATAGACATCGAAAAACTTACTCAATATTCTACTCGAGGTATTTATTCATCCTTTGTTTCAAACATCTTATATAGATATATAGATTATGAAGGGCGAACGATGAATGCCAATTAGATTTATCTTACAAAGAATCCGGGACTTGAAGAAAATTCATGTTATAGTAGCAATAATTTAGAATTAATTCTGACTTACGGTGTTGTTTGAGTTATAAAATTCTGAATATTGTTGCTGTGTATTGAAGATAACTTGTATCCTTCTTTATTTCTATTTAATTTACTTTTTAAACTTCCCGTTGTTGGCGCCATTTTTTTTTTCGCAATATATTTTTTCCTGTGTGATCATGTTTTTTATAGTAAGGATATAGTTTTCATCTGACTTCAAATAAACGAATTATTTACAAAACTAAAAAAAAAACTGACTTCAAACAGGAAACTAAAAACATTGTTAGTACTATAACGGGCTCTCGATAGGCCCTTTGATTTCTCTGGGATGCCATCATCAGATCCGGGTTTCCTTATCATGGTACCAGCCTTGGGATATCTCCTTGCCGACAAGTAAAAAAATCATCAAAATCGGTTCATAAACGACGAAGTATACGGTCGAATAGAGAAACGTCCTTCTTTTTTGAAGTCGGTTAAAAAGGACAGGGTTCTCAAATGTGGTATCACTGGTATTTAAAATGTATTTTATATATGTAAAGTAATAATTAAATAGAAAATTTGTTATTTTTGTAATTTAAAATGTACTTGTGGTGAAAGAAAAAAGTTTTTTGACACTTGTAATATTTACAGCTTTAAAATGATTATTTCAGAACATAATCCCAGCCAGCATTATTGTCTTGGGGCAACTATTGCAGCAACACCGGATTATTTTTTGGTAACTCAATCCATTTTGATCTTTTTAGTTTGTTTACTGCCTTATTCGAAGCCAATAGTATAGATACAGAATATAGATATAGATGAATGTACAGTTGACAGTGCATGTTTATATGCCATTCATCAGTTTCATCATCAATGTAATGTAAATGAATATTATAGAATGTATATATATATATATGTCTGTGTATATATATACATATATAATTCTTTGATAAATTATAAAATACATTTTCGTAAGCATATCTATTCCACTTCACAATCATTGGCATACTATATTATAATTTTATCATAACATTCTTATCAACAACAATTTTTAAATATTTCCTATTTAGACTTGCGCTCCGCTTTGGATGTCATCGTACAAAACGGAAGACCCTCAAAAATTCAAAAACGTTGATACCAACTCCTACGGCACCTGTTTTATCTACAACGGAACAGCCCATCGATATAATGGATTGTATGAGCAACACGTCGAAAAGACCATTCCAAACCGACGTAAGTCATAATCTATATTCAAATTAAAATTTTTTTTACAAAATTAAACGCAGTGTTGTGGTGAATACCATACTGAATACTAAATAGACTACAAACTGAACGGTTCTGACCTCCTAAGTAGGCTTTCATGACCTGTGATTATTTATTTTGGAGATAAGGGGCAAACGAGTATTTAGGAGACTCAGTTCTATTTCCTTAATTTGGTGAAATATTGGTATTTATATAAGGTACTGAAAGTGTGTGCTGATAAGTAGTCATAACAATTGCTAATAAAGTGTGATCATTTTAATAGATCTTGTAACGAGTTTTTATTTTAATTACTTATATAACTCTACATATTTACATATCTCATCACAGAACTCCTGATCGCTCAATTCTCAAACATGTTACACAATTTAAACATATATCAATTTTACGAACAAATGCGTTTGTATGTAAATCTATATTATAAAGAGGAAAGATTTGATTGTTTGTATGTATTGAATAGGCTCCGAAACTACTGAACCGATTTGAAAAATTCTTTCATTGTTGGGAAGCATTGTTTACCACTCTCTCACTAGAAACCGACGTCAAGTGGCAGCTATGCTGTCGCGTTTCGTTTGGTCTGTGAGAGTCCCGGACGCCCTCTCCCCATTCCCCCCCATAATGTCTGCGCGAAATTTAAATTTTCTACCCCAGGAGGGTACCACCAGCATACAGCGCGGTGGAGAATCCCTCTCTGGACGTCCACGCGCAGGCCGTACAACGTCTGAGCGTGAATGCCCAGGCTGCCCTTCGTATTCTGGGGGGGGCAATTTTGCGCTCTCTATACCTGTTCGGGGCAAACGGAGCAGGCAACATAAGGCCACCTCTTCCTCGCATGCCGTGGACTTTTGCAACATAAGGGGGCTAAATTCCAACTTAAACGCCGTCCACTTCCATCTTGAGACGGCGAAGCCGGCCTTGCTCTTCCTTACCGAGACGCAGATATCTTCTCCAGCTGACACCTCATTCCTCTCCTACCCGGGGTACAAACTGGAACATTCCTTTGTGCCGCGGGCTGGGGTGTGCGTGTACGTCAGAGAGGATATATGCTCTCGTCGCCTCGATGCTCTTGAAGGACGGGACCTATCCATACTCTGGCTACGCGTAGACTGCGACGACCATCCGCGAATCTACGCGTGTCTGTATAGGTCCCATAGCGGTAATGCCGAAACTGACCGACTCTTTGAGCACATACAAATGGCTACAGATTCCGTGTTGCAGCAGATCCCATCCGCGGAGATCGTAATTCTCGGCGACTTTAACGCTCATCACGCCGAGTGGCTTAGATCTCGTACCACCGACCACGCGGGGAGATCTGCTCACGATTTCGCATTAACATATGATCTGACACAACTGGTTACCTCGCCAACGCGAATCCCAGATGTGGAGGATCATACACCTTCCCTGTTGGACCTTCTGTTGACCTCTCATCCGGACGGATACTTGGTTTCCGTCGATCCTCCCCTCGGCTCGTCGGACCACTGTCTTGTCCGGAGCACAGTGTCAATAACGCGCTTAACGCGGCCTCACTTTGCGGGCTGCCGCCGCGTATGGCATTATAGGTCAGCAGATTGGGATGGGATGCGGTCATTCTTTGCGTCCTACCCATGGGGGCAGATTTGCTTCTCGCCGGATGATCCAGACGTCGTTGCTGACTCAGTGACTGATGTGGTGCTTCAAGGTATGGAACTCTTTATTCCGTTCTCTGCAGTGCCCATTGGTGGCAAGTCGCAGCCTTGGTTTGGTCGCTCCTGTAAGTTGGCATTACGCCGAAAGCGGGAATGCTACCAGGCTTGGGCTGACGCTTCGTCGTCTTGTGATGTAAAAACCAGCGCTTTAAAAAAGACGTATAACTCTGCCTCTAGGTCCTTCAAAAGTGTTATTGCTAAGGCGAAATCGGAACACATTGGCAGAATTGGCGAGAGATTGGCGCGTCTCCCAACGGGAACACGTGCGTTTTGGTCTCTCGCCAAAGCTGTCTTGGGAAATTTCTGTAAGCCTTCTTTTCCACCCCTGCACACGGAGGATGACTCGCTGGCCCATGCCGCGAAGGAGAAAGCCGATCTTCTGGGCTCTCTCTTCGCGTCCAACTCGACTTTGGATGACCGAGGACCGAGGAAAATTACCACCAACAATCCCGCGTTGCGATGCTACGATGCCGGAGGTTCAATTTCGGCAAAGTGCAGTTCGCAGAGCACTCTTTTCCTTGGACATTCATAAGTCGAGTGGGCCCGATGGCATCCCTCCGATCGTGTTGAAGACATGTGCTCCAGAGTTGGCACCGGTTTTGACGCGTCTTTTCCGGCTCTCCTATACTCTAGGCGTATTCCCAAAAACCTGGAAGGCCGCTTTAGTGCACCCGATCCCTAAGAAAGGCAACAGCTCGGATCCGTCCAACTACAGGCCTATAGCCATCACCTCCTTGCTCTCCAAGATAATGGAGACCATCATTAACTGCCAGCTCCTGCGGTACCTAGAGGAGCACCAGCTGATTAGCGACCGCCAGTACGGCTTTCGTCGAGGTCGCTCAGCCGGTGATCTTCTGGTTTACCTGACACACAGATGGGCAGAAGCAGTTGAGAGCAAGGGGGAGGCGCTTGCAGCCAGTCTGGACGTAGCGAAAGCCTTTGATAGGGTGGTGTGGCACAAAGCACTTCTTTCGAAGCTGCCTTCCTATGGGCTTCCCGGGAAGTTATGCAACTGGATCACTAGCTTTTTGGCAGATCGGAGCATCAAGGTCGTCGTCGACGGTGCATGCTCTGATCCTAAATTTGTCAATGCTGGTGTTCCACAAGGTTGCGTACTGTCCCCCACTTTGTTTCTTCTGCATATCAATGATATGTTGCAAATCAGCAGCGTTCATTGCTATGCGGATGATAGCACTGTGGATGTTTCGTACACAGGCCGTGCTAACATTTCTCGGGAAAACGTCTACGAGAGCCGGAACAAACTTGTGTCTGAAGTCGAGACTTTGTTAACAAAAGTCTCAGACTGGGGTCGACTAAATTTAGTCCAATTCAACCCCGATAAGACACAAGTTTGCGCGTTAACCGCTAAAAAGTCCCCATTTGTCGTGACTCCTCATTTTGAGAACACTCCCCTGTCTGTCACAGCTAGTATCGGAATACTTGGCGTCGAAATCTCGAGCAATGTCCAGTTCCGCGGTCAATTGGAAAGTAAGGCCAAATTGGCCTCAAAAAAGCTCGGTGTGCTCAGCAAGGCGAGACAGTACTTCACGTCGGCTCAACGCCTAAACCTTTATAAGGCGCAAATTCGGCCCCACATGGAGTACTGCTCTCACCTCTGGGCGGGAGCCCCCTGTTACCAGCTTCTTCCATTTGACCGCATCCAACGTAGGGCAGCTAGGGTTATCGACGATCAAGGTCTTTCCGATCAGCTTGATCCTTTGGCTATGCGTGGAGATGTTGGGTCACTCTGCATCTTCTACCGCATCTATCACGGGGAGTGTTCCGAGGAATTGTTTGGATTGATCCCAGCGGCTGAATTTCACCATCGGACATCGCGCCAAAACCAAAAATTTCATCCACACCACCTCGATGTCCAGCGTTCCACAACAGCGCGATTTTCAAGGCATTTCCTGCCTCGCACAACCACTCTGTGGAACCAGCTGCCGCCGGCGGTCTTTCCGAACCGTTACGACCTGGGAACCTTCAAGAAGAGAGCGTACTCATTCCTAAAAGACCGGCAACGCATTTGTAAGCCCTCGGGTGTTGCAGATGTCCATGGGCGGCGGTGATCACTTACCATCAGGTGAGCCTCCTGCTCGTTTGCTGCTTTTTTCCCATAAAAAAAAAAAAAAAAAAAAAAAAAATGCTACATTATCCCTGCTTGATATAGGCTATATTATATTTTCAAAAAAATAGAGATCCTTACTAAAACTTTATTAATGTAACCCAAAGTTTACAAAAATTACCAAAAATATTCTTTACATCGCGTGCGCTGCCAAAACTATTGAGGATAGAATAAAATAATGTACTACGGCTTTGCAGAACACATCATTATTTACAAAAAGTGTCGCGACAGCATATGTCTAACTATTATGGTTATGCCACAATAAGTGTTATTTTATTTTAAAATTTTGATTGAAATGCCGCCGCTAGAAAAGGCTCTTTATTTGTATCTTGGTATTAATCCTTATAAAAATAAATTACTTCATATTTAAGGCTGTTTCAATATCTTTATATAACTTTTTGAATTATTACATTCGGACATTACATTCGAGAGATATCACAAGTTTAAAAATGTTAGTATATTGGAATTTGACTATCCAAACAGCTTAGTGACTGACTTAGTAGTTCTTATAATTTTTCAATCACATTTATACTGGTAATTCCTGTTCGATAGTTAGCATATTATTAAATACAAAGGCAGTTTAATTTTTTTTATCATTTTAAAGATCTCATCTTTCTAGAAATAGTTTCCAGGCGAGGGCATCAAAAATACGTCGTAATGAGGAATCTTTACCGGAAACTGAAAATAGCCTTAAAAGTCGGAGAGAGTCAAGTAGTGTTTGCAACGGCTTGAAGAGCATATTAATATAAATATACAAATTCACACTAGGGAGTCGAGTTATGAGCGTTCCCAACGCCTACGAGATTAGAGGGAAAGACAACAAACGTCAACGATTAGAGATCGTAATCGACTTTTAGCTCACAGTAACAGATCAGCTTTAATGCATTAAGCTCAACAGTCTTTTGTCCAAATCGGAACCATGAATAAGATCTGCTCTAAGTGTTCTGCCAAAAAATGGGTCGATGAACCAAATGGTATGTGCTGTGCTTCTGGAAAAGTTAGTCTCACCAATATTGAGGAGCCGCCACAGCCAATAAAAAATCTTTTAACAAATATCATTCACCATCTGGACATTTTTAACCAATATTCGAAAGTGCAATAGCTTCTTTCAAATGATTTCGTTTAGCGTGAACTTTTAAAATAGAGGGACAAGTATACAAGTTATCATTATCCTCCTTCCCCTATCCCACCTAGGTGGAATCGGCACAACTATATTTATACAACCAGCCGCTCTGCCTGACGTCAAGCCTCCTTGGGAAACTAATACCCACAAAACCTAAATTCAAAAATCAAATTTCAAATCTGTAACTATCACGGTTCATGAGATACAGCCTGTTGACAGAGGGACAAACAGACAGCGGAGTCTTAGTAATAGGGTCCCGTTTTACCCTTTGGGTATGGAACCCTAAAAAGGCCCTAGAGATATATTGCACGGTAGGCAGGGCCAACTTAAAAGGGTCTCTGAGTTACACCGATTGTATGATCTACTAAAATATCTCTTATTAGTCGTAATAGGAGAAGACGGTTAATATTTGACTATTCCTCAGCAAGGTACTGTGTGTAAAAAAACTGTGACATGCATGCAATTTTATGCATTTAGGTTGATGGTTAGAGCTATCTGTTTTAATCCATTACATTATTACTGGGACTTAATAGGGTTCCGTACCCAAAGGGTAAAACGGCACCCTATTACTACGACTCCGCTGTCCGTCTGTATGTCCGTATGTCTGTCCATATGTCACCAGGCCGTATCTCATGAACCGTGATAGTTAGAGTTGAAATTTTCACAAACGATGTATTTCAATTTTATGGATTTAGCTTGATGGTTAGAGCTATCTGTTTTAATCCATTACATTATTACTGGGACTTATTAGGGTTCCGTACCCAAAGGGTAAAACGGCACCCTATTACTACGACTCCGCTGTCCGTCTGTATGTCCGTATGTCTGTCCATATGTCACCAGGCCGTATCTCATGAACCGTGATAGTTAGAGTTGAAATTTTCACAAACGATGTATTTCGTTGTCATTTGTTGCAGCTATAACAACAAATACTAAAAAACAAAAAAATTATAAATAAGAGGGGCTCCCATAAAATAGACATGATTTTTTTGCCGGTTTTATAGATAATGTTGACAGCAGTAGTGTTTTTGACTATATGTAAGAGTAATACTTCTATATTGAATAAAGATATTAAAACATGATTTTTTAATGTGATAGAGTGGCACACGATCTGGCGGTTCACCTGATGTGAAGTAATAACCGCCGCCCATGGATATTTGCAACACCTGTACGGTTGTAAATGAGTTGTCATCTTTAAATAAAGTGGGCCCCGGCCACCTCCCTCACCAGCCGAAAAGTAGAAGTATAACACTTCTATTTTACCCCGGTCTTCTGTGAGGTCGGTACGGAAGCCTTCGTGTGCGAGTCCGACTCGCACTTGGCCGGTTTTTATTCAATACATTGTCGATATGATGGAAAAAGATATCAGAAAGATTGAATTACATATTATGTCGTAATAACCAGAGACTAAGGGCTGGTGAAACATTCATCTTAGAGATGCTTTAAATTAAGACATTGGCCCATCAAATATCGGTCAACGCGTAATCTGCAACGTCATATTCATTTACAGGTTCTCCGAATTATCTGCATTAAAAAACCAAAGATGCGATGATTTATGTCTAAAGCTATGGGAGGCCAGACTTATTTGTCACTTTTACGTGTAACCCCGAATGTCCCGTAATTAAAGCGGAACCATTATCTGGTCAGCGATCTTTCGATCTTCATAACGTAATTTCAAGGATATTTCATTAAAAGATTAAGAAATTCATAAAATTATTCACCACAGACGAAACATTCGGAAGGTTTTATGTGTGTGTATGATAATTTAAAATTTTTTAATTTTTTGTTAAACTTATTGTTACCCGTGCGAAGTTGGGGCGGGCCGCTAGTATTATATATTTTTATAGAGGCGTTTTCCGGCGGCGTCGGCTGGACAACGTTAATTGACGATATGAACAATTTAATACTGATAGCCAAAATATTTGCCAAGGGTGACATTAGCTATATTTCTCAATCAAGTCCTCTGAGTCCAGCCCGTTCACTCACGCAAAGGAAGAAAAGTTATTTCACAATGCATACTGCGGCCTACCGGAATGTTGGTAAGTGTTGGACACTGTTGCAGTCAAACTGTTTATTATTCATTCATCTCATTCATAATAAATATGTTATTTTCCTTCATTCTCTCTCTACCGCCCAGGCATCGACAGTTCAATATGTGCTCTGTATAACTATTTAAATAATAAGTGTTTAAAATGCAATAAACGTGCTAAATTGTGAATTATATATAAACGGGATGGATTTTTTTTTTTATGCGAAAAGTTGTCAAACGAGCAGACGGTTTACCTGATGTTAAGTAAATACCGCCGCCCATGGACATCTGCCACACCCGAGGGTTACAGATGCGTTGACAACCTTTTGAAAATTGGCTCCGGCTACCTCACTCACCAGACGAAACGCGAAAGTATTTGTCATACTGTCACTTTACGCTGGTCTTCTGTGAGGTCGTGGTACTTACCCGGACGGGCCTGCCCATTCGTGCAACAGCCGAGGCTGCTACGTGGCCCTACCACCGTTTTATCCAAAGTCAAAGTACCGATTATCCAAAGTCAGTGACTTAACCAAAGAGTAAGAATTTATTGTCCATTGCTTTCAGGGCTAGCACTTGCATCTGGGCGCTTTTCTATCTCAGGTGCGAACGAAACTGTTTATGCGTTTAGTATGGTACACAACGACATGACTAGCACAGTAAGTTAATTTATTTTATCGTTTCCGTTCAATTGAATTTTATTTACAGAGTCAATAACGGTATAACGCCTCTACCCTCCTTTCAGTGGCATGTGCCAATTAGTTTATTAAGTTGAGAAGTACTATGGTGTAGCACGCGCGACTTGAAAAAATGCTAACAATAGACTCACTAGCGTTTTAGATGTTCATGGGCGGCATTACTAAAGCTTCAGTGGAAATGCTTGCTCGTTTTCCATCTTTTTAATAAAAGAACTGCATCCAGCTGTTAACGGCTAAAAGAAACATAACATGCCTGAGTACTTTTGAGACTAAAAATATCAGTGTATATGCATGTAGCAATTCATTAACTTAACAATAAATTAACCTGCCGCAAGGCACTATTTCACGTCATTTGGCCTTTATTAAATTTTACTCTATCCTTTTGTTTGAGTTAGATTAAGAGATATTTTTTTAAGAAAACTCCCAAATCCGTGTAAAGTTAATGTCAACAAAAAAATCCAACAACAATGTAGTATTTATTCCTTGCGTCTCTCACACTTAAAGTTCAACAATTTTCCAGGTGGCGTTCCTCCGATATGCGATAAAGGACAATTACTTCAGATTAATAAAGAACGTGGAAATCGTGCACGAAGCGATAAACACAATGTTCGGAGCGGCGATGAGGTGCGAAGACCTCGACGATGATGGTTTTTCGGAGTTGCTAGTGGGGGCGCCCGCGCAGGGAGACGACGATAACGCGTATGAAGTCGGCGCCCTACACATATTCACGGGGGGTGAATTGGTAATTAAAATATATTACACTAGCTGCTGCCCGCGACTACGTCTCCGTCGAATAGGCTGAAGGCGTAACGTTCAGACAGAAAGACAGATATACATAAAATATGTATATAGATTATAGCCTATGTGTTATTCTGATGTGTAAGCTATAGTAAAGTTTCATTAAAATCCATTCAGTAGTATTTGCGTGAAAGAGTAACAAATACCCATCCATCCCTAAACTTTTGCCTTTATAATATTAGTAAGGATAGTTCTCGTCCAAAAATTGAGCATAATTATTCAGCAAGGATATGCAGCTAGCGCCCTTGACACCATCCAGCGTGGACTAGGCATATTAGATAATATGTAAATCACTTAGATTTAATGTTGTAAACATTGGATAAAATAGAACATTTTATAAATTTTTAATTTTTAATAATGCGAATCTCTAAAATTTTTTTAAGTTATTTCTTTACTTAACTTTATTATGCAAAGCTTTCTAATAAAATTTATAATAATTGTCATTAAATAAATGATTATTAATGCACTTGTTCATTATAATCGCATCATTAATTAGCCCCATTAATTTGAAACTTTGAACACTAGTTGTTTGCTCTTGCTTTATAAAAGCTTATGATACAGAAACATTAAATTACAATCCGTGGCGCGAGAATTGTTCTTTCGCATATTTTTACCATAACAAGAAAAAAATGATATCAAGTTTCGAAAAACAACTTCGAGATGAAAAGGCAGAAACGGGCTGCTCTGTGTTCGTGTCTCACCATATTTTCTTAGGCGGTTCTTACTTTATAAGTACTACAAAATTTAACTTAATTTATTTTAATGCTGTCTAATTAATATTTTTCCTTTTAAAGAACACGATAGTTAATGCCAATAGGATGCGATCCATTATTGGTACTAAGGAAGGCTCGAGATTCGGCAGTGCAATTGCATGTACCGACATTGATGGGGATAATTTTCCAGGTAACTTTCAATCTACTTCGCTACCTTTCATTTAAACAAAGTCAATAGATGACATTATCAATTGGCAATATATCAAGTGTTTTTTTGTTTATGGAAACATCAACTTTATTGTAATTATAAATGAAACTAATTTTACGGATTTATCGCGTTTATTTTTAATTTTAATTCCCGACGTTTCGAACCCTTTACAGCGTTCATGGTCAGCGTTCAGTCTGTCCCGTGACCATGAACGCTGTAAAGGGTTCGAAACGTCGGGAATTAAAATTAAAAATAAACGCGATAAATCCGTAAAATCAGTTACATTTATAATGTGTAATCGCGTAAACACAAGAAATTATTATTTATTGTAATTGTCTTTTTTTCGTCAATACCGTCAAATACGTAAAGTATCTATTTAAATCATGTTAGTAAACTTCGACCACCAACCTAATCGATAAAAGAAAAAATTCTCGATGCCAGGTCATTAGAAGAATAACTTATTCCTGGTCTAAGCTTTTATCGAGAGTAATTGTTCCCAAAACTTCCAGATGATTGTACCCTTAATTGGGATTGCTGGAGAGATATGATAATTTACGTTTACAACTAGACAGGACATGATAATTATGTTCCTTTGCATGCATGTTCTATGTAACCCCCTATAATGTGATTAAATGTTCTAAAAATATATTTAATTTACAGAAGTAGTAGTTAGTGCACCTTACGAAGGCCTTGGTATGGGAGCTGTTTATATAATTTCTGGTTCTGAATTGAATCGTATGCTGTTAAAAGGCGAATTATACAAAACAATCAGTCTTTCGCAACTAACGTCGACACAGAGAATACAAAACAAGAAATTTAAATCTTTTGGTTTCAGTCTTCAAGTTATCGCAGACATAAATGAGAACGGCTGCAAAGGCATGTTAAGTTTAATTTTATATTCACTGGCATTTGTTATTTAAGTCTTTACTTACCTTTCTAAAAGTCACATCACACACATCGACTAAATTATTTTGCAATTATGTTTGTACCATCGTTCATGAATACAACCTAGTTTCTCTGCATGAACATTACGTCATGGTCAAACTCTATTTTATTGGTTATTGTCGCTGGATTGGCAGAAAACAGGAATTTTGAACGTTTATGATTCTATTTTTTTTTAAAAGAAATTTTGTTTGTTAGTTTGAAACCGTAAGGTGTAAATATTTAAATTGCTAAACTACATATATTGTTTTCTTCAGAATTAGCCGTGGGAAGTCCCGACAGCACGCGAGTCGTTTTGTATCGCAGTATACCTTTTGTTAAATTGGCACTGTCTACCCAACTTGTTGGTGAACAGGTAAATAATATACAATAAAGTAGTTTAATTAAAATAAAGTAAATGTAGATTTTCTTGCAATGTTTTTCGTCACCGCCGAGTACGGGCTAAGGCAGCACTTAAAATTAACAATTTCATTGGTACCAGCACTGGGGCTCGAACTCAGGTTGCTCGAGTAAATTGAATTAAAGGCGAGCGCCCGGACACTGGCCCTTTTTTAATTCACGCTGTTAAAATTAACAATTTCGTTGGCGCTGGCACCGAGATTTGAACTAACTCAACACGAGTTGAGTATAATGAGAGCCGTGATAGCTCAGCGTCCAGGCTTAATAATATACGATATTGATCAAAATATAACAATTGTTCAGTAATATATCAGTTAACTGATCACATTTCATTTTAAGGTCGTGCGGATAAAACAAAATAATTTTACGGTAAGCGTAATTGTTGATGTTACATATCCAAGAAAGCCGCAAAAGATCCTTGGAAGTAAGTAAATAGCATCATATGATACCATTACAGTATTCATGAAGTAGTCGGGATAGGAAAAGAACAAATCTATGTGTTCTATGTTACAGAAATTAAATTAATGAACAGTATTATTGGAGATGGAGTAAACATTGCAGAAGGACAAGAAACTATAGTCATTGATCTTTCACATAAGGAACCAAATTACATTTTAGATGTTGGCGTTATTATTGTAAGTGTATTTATTTTACGAAAGAGACGTTTATTTAGGGAATTTGTAAAAATTATGGAATACCATAAATTTATTAAAAAATTATGGAATTATTCATAATTTTAGGACAACAATGAACCAGGCACTTACAAGTTTAGCACGGTGATTGAAGAAGAATCTGATGACATTGTTAAAAGCAAAGGTAAGAGAATATCATCATGAAAAAACCTTGTAAAAACTTCGAAAGCAAAAGTTTAAATTCTATCGATAAAAGATTTTCGAACAAAAGAAAATAAAAAAAATGCAATATAACTTTATTTCAAAGATAAAAAAAGGAATTTTATGTCACATGTGTAAAACTTTTTTACACACGTTTAAAGTACTTGTACCATATTAAAGTAATTTTTTTTTTCAGATTTCAATCCATCATGGGTAACTTTAAAACCAAAGAGTTTGATGTCGTCACTTGAGATTGAAAGGCGTTGCTCTGGTGAAAGTTGTTTACCGCAGTTGAATATGACACTAGAATGGTCCGGACGGTAGGTGAACTTTATAAAAGAATTTTAATCGTATGTAACGATGAAGCAGAATCAACCTAGCGATAGCTTATATTATTCTTCGTCACTTGAACTTGATGATAACTAGTAATATCATCAAAATGTTTTTTATTTCATTTCCGAAACTTGTTTTTGATAAGTTTTTTGATAAGAAGTTTATGTCCTAGGCTTAACGCCGCGGCTGGTGACAAGAGAGCTGGTTCTTTTCTCGCTCAAAGGTTAAGCATAACTATTCAGCGAGGAAACGCAGCTAGCGTTCTTGGCACCATGCCGCGTGGATTAGGTTTATTAGATAATATGTAATTTTAGATAGATTTAATCTTGTAAATATTAGATCAATAGGCAATTATACTTAATCGCTTTATACGGAATACATTTGACGTCCTTATGCACTATTAATAAATAATCTTTGCTGTGTTGATTTCTTGTAGTTACGCAAATACTAAATAAAACGAATGAACAGCGTTTATGCTGAGAAGTGTTCGAATGACGGGAATTAAAAAATAGAACGCGTAAAAAATCCTATAATAAAACCATTAAACTTATTTCTATCTGTTGTAGCTCACCATATACTTTAGGTTCAACAAAATCGGAAACGGTCACTGTTCGTTTTAAGAATGAAGGAAACAGTTCCTATGCGCAGACTTGCGCATATTTGAGTGTGAGCGGTGCTCGTGTGGTTCAATTTGGTTGCCCGGAGGCAGATGGTTTCTACAAGTGTCTTCTGCCTGTGCCCATAAATAGAGACGCTGAAGTAAGTTGATAAAATTTCGCAATAATCATTCAGACATTTTGAATTAAATGGATGGTGGGATAACCATCTCGACTTTCCAGACCCTAAATACTCAGGAAATAGTTAGATTTGAATTTTAATATATAGAGTTTAATTACATGACATCATTAATGGAATAATAACATAGCTAAACTTCTATTCACCCTGATGAAGGACCTCCGATAGGTCATATGATATCATATTTATTTTTATTATATAAAGTAAATTGCAGACTGTGGTAGAGTCATGAGGTAGAGGAGGTCCCGCTGAGGGAAGAAGGTTTGGCAACGCACCTGCAATCTCTCAGCTGCCATCAGTGTCCATAGTTGGTGGTAATCACTTAACATCGGATTTTTGTGCTTTCTAATTAGTTTTTATTACAGTTAGTTTCTCTTTATTACGTACTGACATCTACATCAGATGATAACTTGTTATTTACAGCATTTAATAGAAATGTCACTAGACATGAGCAGAGCTACAAGTAAAGACCAGGCGCTAATTGTAAACGTAACGTTCTACAAAAGCGGTTGTTCACTAAATTTGAATTTCACGAAATTAGACCTGATTGTACCGTATGAACTGGAAACGGATGTTATAACAATTAATGGGTAATATAAATATACTTCTATCTTATTTACAGTCATATTTGTATATGATTACAACATTAGTGAGAGATTTTGAATTTGACTGTAATGTAAACATGACATTCATGATTAAACCCTGCTTACGTAATAACGAATACTCGAAGTCTAACAATATTCTTGATAACAACAAATCAAATAAAACAAATATGATTTTTATAGTTCATCGCATGAACGAGTGCTTACTGACAGAGAGGTGCTAGACACAACGATAAATTCTATTGAAGACGCGCATGAATATACGGTAAGAATTTAGTTTCAACTTCCGATTCACAAACAATTCTGATATATCCTGACTACTCTCGAAAGAATTAATCATATCTTTCTTATGATTGTTTTTATAAAAAATACGATCTTATCTTATCTTATCTTACTTCTTACTTATATTTATAATCCTTACTAATATTATAAAGGCGAAAGTTTGTATGTATGGATGCATGTTTGTTACTCTTTCACGCAAAAACTACTGAATAGATTTTAAAGAAACTTTACAATGATATAGCTTATACATCAGAATTACACATAGGCTATAATTTATAAAGATATTGTGTGAATTGTCCAAAATATAGGTTGATAAGTGTCAGCTAAGTAGGAAAAAATTCAGCCATCTGCGAGATATTCTGGTGTGTAATAAAAAACTCATTGTTAATTTCCTCGCCGCGGGCGAAGCCGCGGTTAACTGCTAGTTTAAAATCGTTTTGATAATTAAAAACATATTAAAAAAAAGTTCAAGTTGTTGAAATTTCTTGGCAAAAAGTGAAGTTTAAATTGTTAATCGTCACAGACACCCAAGTGTGTGAATTACGTTATTTGCTTGGATGACTTCTTAGACATACCTAAATTCAAAATTACAAAAAAATATATTTCTTCTATTTAAAAACGAAACAAGTAAGCTATCGTACTTGTTTCGTTTTTAAATAGAAGAAATATATTTTTTTCTAATTTTGAATTTAGGTATGTCTAAGAAGTCATCCAAGCAATATATGGGCAGTTTTTCAACCGGCCTCAAGAGGAGGCCATTGCAGGTTGTGCCTTATTCACCAGAAATCCGTCATTCATGAACCGATTTGGAATTTTTTTGTTTGAAATGAGATGTTTTCAAGGAGGTACCACTTTTATTTTCAATTGCATCGGCCCTTTGATTTCGGAGAATCACCGGGGAACTCCTCAAAACCATTTAGGAAATGCATAGTGGGGGAGTTAGTTGAAGTTGCCCTTTTGTGTGTGACATCATAGAATTAAAATATTACAAAACTTTTCTTCATACTTGTCTTATAACGTTGTTTGGTAGATAGTGTAGTTTTCTTTTCATTTATGACCTATGTTTAAGATTGGTCGAGTCAGTTGCTAAAGTCGACTGGAACTGGTATGCGTAAAAATTAGAAAATAGTCATAGATTATTTGAAAATTAACATGTCTCTTTTACAGATTGAAAACCACGGTAAAGTTTTGTGGAAAGGTATCACAGCCATAGTGAGGTGGAAGCATTATCCGTTTATTAAAACTTATAAAGTAGGTGGTTTACTTAAATTCTTAACCTTATTTGTACCATTTATTTATTTTTTCTTGTATAAACCATAACAGACTTGACCACCGAGATAGAGTACTGAATTATTTTGAACCATTTAAAATTGGACATGAAATTTTAAGAAAAAAACATCATAAAGTTTTCAAGACCGAATACTGTCGTACTTATATATAATCAAATGATGTCGAATAAAATTGAAGAGAGTATCTAAGACTTTCAATCTTTTTTTCAATTGTGTTATTCTACGTTCTTTTTCTTGCCATAGGTATCCTTAGCGTCCACAATAAGCAATTGTATGAGGCAAGACTCAAATATTGATGTGACATTTACTTGCATATTAAGTTTGGAACCACACGCTTCAGTTAAAGTTATTTCAACGATGGAATTATCCGAAACTGACATAGGTTCGCTATTTCTGATTTTGTTTATTTCAATTGTTTGTGTTTGTGTGTCATTATGACAATTTTAACTGAAATCTGTTTATTGCAGAAAAGCATCTGGTGGGTAATAATGTCAACGTTTCCTCGGATCTGGAGCTACATCTAACAGCGATTGAGAGAAAAGGCTTGTCGTAAGTAAATGTGTATACATTATAGCTGTGGTTAGCAAACGCAACCGCTTCTGTTGTTGCACGAATAAGCAGACACCACCGGGGAAGTATCACTTGAAGTAGAAGTTAATGCTGAGGGTTGCCCGAGTTAACAGTAAACCTAGTCGACTGACCTCTCACTCCAGCCCTTAAACTTGAATGCTGTAGTTAACTTATCGAAACGTCGAGTGTTTGAAGTAAAAACAGTTCAACTAAATCAAAATTCAACATGTCGCGTTAATCGAATAGTGAAATTAATACATATGTGTCTTCGCAATAATAACATTGAATTGGCTACATTTAAATATTGTATTATATTGATTGTCTTAACTTGTTAAGTAAATTTAAGTTCAATGTACCGCATAGGTTACCTAGAACCTAAATCTTACCATTTGTCCCAACTTTACGAATAACACTATTGGGCTCAAGCTCGTTTGTCTCTACAGCAAGCCGATTTCTGAATTATTATGGAAAATCGACTGATATTCATGCCATGGACAGTCAGCCCTTACTTTAGGATAACATTATTCTATGTTGTAAGGACGTTTTAAAAACATTAATTTCACCCAGATGCGAAACAACTATCTGTGTCACACAAATATTTAGCCCGTGCTGCTGAAGCCAATACGTTGGCAACTGCGCCACGGAGTCATCCAAGTCTATGAACTTACTTTTTTTTACTGTCCTACGTCTCAACGCCTTTTGTAAGCACTTGCCAGAAACCGTTGTCGAAATGCCGTACAGAGCGTGTCTTTGCCACCGCGACAATAAATGAAAACACGTCTAACGCTACATGCCAAGAATCATAAAAAATATTAACTTTAAAAAAGCCATAATTAAAAAAAATATTTTTCAAACAAACTAATTAAGTAAAAAAGGAAAAAAATGTAACATCCTATACAACTATATCTGACTGATTTATACATTCAGAGACTTTTTCATTCGTTGCCACAGCGCTGCATTACAAGCCTCTCCTTCTAACAGTATGTTTTGTCCCTTTTAAATTCATTCAAGCCATTCATATGCTTTGTGACCTTTACAAATGAACTTTACATTAAAGTTTTATAGGTAAGGGTGTTCTAAAATTGTTTGTTTTGGAAAATTTGATAACTCGTTAAATATTGATGATTAATGAATGTAAATCTTTAATACAATTTTAAAATTTATCCTCTATATGTGTCTTCATTTATTGTCGCGATGGTAAAGTCACGGTGTATATATTTTTATTTAAAAGTTGCAAACTATTGATTTTATATTGTATTTTTTTATTAATACGTTAATTGATGTTACTTGAAACCACATACTTCGCATATGGTGTTTATCATTAATTTAGCTTTTGTACATTTAGCTATTATATACTGTATACTGTATGTGACAAGTTTAAATGTACATCTTTTCTATAAAAAGTAATAGTTTGTTATTCGTCTATTGTTAAAATAATATTAGTGAACATTAAGGGACTGCCGGACAAATTGATAATATAGATTTTTTTATTCTTTTTCTTTAGAACGTTACCGTTATCGTTACCTGGCCGGGTTATAAAGGAAAATTTATAAAGTCCGTGTGGTATAAATGTAAAACTTTTGAACAAATTTATAAAAAAATCATCATTTCTTATATGCAGGTTAACAACATTCATACAATATCGGAAGGTGCTTTCATTGAAGCAAAATAAACAATTGATAATTCTCATCGCAATTATAGTCGCCATTTTAATATTAGCGATTGTAGCCTTCATTCTTTACAAGGTAAAAAAAAAAATAGTTTCTTACTTAAGATGTCACATAACACAGCATTGCACTGAGTTATTTTATAAGGAACAAGTAAAAAAATTACAAAAAAAAGTTATATTTACCGAGAGAAATGCATTCGGAGATCACAAATGCCGCAAAGTGTTTGTTCCAACTGTGTTCCACGCGACAGTGTTCTCTGTTGCACGAATGGGCAGATTCGTCCGGAGAAGTACCGCAACCTCACAGAAGACCGGTGTGAAGGATAAGTGTGGCACTTCTACGTTTCGCCTGATCGGTAAGGTAACCGGGGACGACTTTACTAAACGGTTGCAAAGCATCTGCAACTATGTTGCAAATATGGCGGCGGTTATCACTTAACATCGGTTGGACCGCCAGCACGCTTGTCACTTTCTCACGTAAAAAAAGAAAAAAAAAAACAATGCGAAAAAAAATATTTTAACTTAATAAAAAAATTAGGCTTAAAAATGAAGAAAACACCGGAAAAAAATAATAGATGAAAATATGACGTCGATGATATTACAAAGACTTCTATTTTTTTCAGATGGGTTTCTTTAACAGAGATACTAAAAACCAGTTGATAGAAGAGAAGAAAGAACATGAAATAAGAAAGAGTATAGTAAGTCCACGCAGTATCAGTTCCCTTTATTCTATGCAAACCCTAAATATAAATTTGAATTTATATTATTAATGAAATCTCACTATGATATCAAAGACTTTGCTCTACTGTATAATGATTTGTTCCTAATTTCACAATTTTTTTAGCGACGCTCTACCATGTCCAGAAAAGAAGATAACGCAGAGGGCCCATCAAATTCACATACGGTTAGTATAATACAAAACTGTCATACGCTTTGCTAGGTATATTAATATTGATGTTTGATAGGAGTTTATTCTTCTCTGTCAATATTAATCTGAAAAGGTTCAAATTTTGTCAAACCCGTTTCATATTGAGCTTTTGTGGTATTTGTTTAAAATAGAAAGTAGTTAAATAAAGTAATCGCCACTACGACCAAAGAAGTCTTTGTTTTAGGAAATAATATTTTTGCTCTTACAATGGTCGACGGCATCCGTTCATACGTAGCTGGAAACTAAATTAAACGAAGGTTTCTCTTTCAGAACCAAATCGAGGTTGTGGACGAACCTTTGGAGCCGCAAACTAAAAATAGACATGATACTCAAGAACCGTAGCAAAGAAAATTATGAATAAAACATGTATTAAGTATCTCATGTTATGTATTTGTTATAAATATCTTGACTAATGGATATTTCTAAGTTTTTCTTGTTGGTAATATGATGTATACAAACAAAGTATATGTAACAGTGCTAAATGTCGAGAACAATACATAAAAGAAGTCGCTCACTTAATTCACTTCTGTTGGCTTCTCTTACTTTTCTCCTCTATTTTATGAATTTCTTACACAAGAAATGTTTTACGGTGGTAGGGCCACGCAGCAGCCTCGGCTGTTGCACGAATGGGCAGGCTCGTCCGGGTTAGTACCACGACCTCCGAGAAGAACGGCGTAAAGTGGAAGTATAATACTTTCGCGTTTCGTCTGGTGAGTGAGGTAACCGGAGCCCAATTTTCACGCATCTGGTACCCTCGGGTGTACCAGATGTCCATGGGCAGCGGTATTCAATTAACATCAGGTGAACCGTCTGTTCGTTTGGCAACTTTTCACATAAAAATAAAATAAAAAACATACAGCGCCAAAGTCTTTGTATGAATATAAATAAGAAGACTATACGTTTCTGTTGTTTTCGACTGTTTCGAATCTTACTTATCTAACGATTGATAAAATAATTAAATATTTTCCATAACAAATAATAGAAAGAATAATTTTAATTAGCTGTGGTTATTTTACAATAAGGATATTAAATAATAAATAACTATAATAAGCTTATGAAATTTTGGCCAAGGTATTAATTTCTATCACCTTCACTTCATAGTATAAAACAAAGTCCTTCCTCTGTCTGTCTGTCCCTATGTATGCTTAGATCTTTAAAACTACGCAACGGATCTTGATGCGGTTTTTTTTACTTGATAGAGTGATTCAAGAGGAAGGTTTATATGTATAATACATTGCACCCGTGCGATGCTGGGGCGGGTCGCTAGTATTATAATAAAATACGAGCTCAGTCTGAATAGAATTTCAGCCATTTATGTAATCATAGGGAAATCAGTCATGTAATCTGAGACCTTCATCTTATACGGTTCTCTCCTATATTATAACCATTAACCATAGAATTATTCATCTTAAAAATAAATAAGAATAGGAGCAAGACGATATTTGTACAATCAACACATCCCTCAGGCGGCCGTCAATAAATTTACGTGAAACAAAAAGAATTACGTACGCTCTTTCTACGTGTCAGTGAACACATCGCTTCGCGTTAGCGAAATGGAATCCATCAGGATTAACTGACGCAAAGACGTGCACCGAATTGAACCTCTGACCGATTGATTGACGAACATTGCGGCGATCTCGTTCAATTATCTCGTGCTAATGCTGAGAGAACAGAAAAAAAGCAATTCTAAGAAGAAATATTGTAAATTGGGCGACTTGTTTATGTGAATAATAATGTGGTTTGGGGAAAATTATATTTATTTTTCTAGCTAGTTCTAGTTTCTAGTTTAATAACGTTTCTTGTTTTTGACAATTTCCAAATAACCGCGAAATTGAACGCCTCTCGATACGTCAACGGCAAGAATTTCGATTGAGTCTGTCGCGACAAGAGCAATAAAAGAATAAAGACGCGCAAACCTGCGTCTTCTTACGGTTAAAATGAAAATGCTTAACAAAAGCCGATACTCATTAACGTATTCTTAGAATATTTTCTAAAAATGAAACCAAGCTAGATCGATTTTTCGCCCCCGAATCTACGCGCATACTAAATTTCATGAAAGTCGCTGGAGCCGTTTCCGAGATTCCGATTATATATATATATATATATATATATATAATTCTTGTATATATATATATATATATATATATATATATATATACAAGAATTGCTCGTTTAAAGGATAAGATATGATGTATTAGTGAATGTGACAGATGATACGGAACGCAGTCTATTATAGAGTTGCAATATAATTACATCAATGGCGTAATTTGAATGCCTCAGTTTCGATGCGCTATCTACCTCGATATAAGGCGTCAACGCATCTGCAACCAGGGCGTGGCAAATGTCTATCCCCGGCGGTTATCGCTTGACATCAGGTGAGCCGCCAGCTCGCTTGCCACCTTCACTACATAGTATAAGAGAAAGTTCTCCCGCTGTCTGTCTGCCCCTATGTATGCTTAGATCTTTAAAACTACGCAATGTATCTTAATGCGTTTTTTTTTACTAGATAGAGAGTGATTCAAGAGGAAGGTTTATATGTATAAAACATTGCACCCGAGCGAAGCCGGTGTGGGTCGCTAGTCTCACATAAAAAAAGTTTATGTGTACTTAAGTACGCACGTAAGAAGTTATACTTCTTGGCAAAAAAAAAAACAAGTTGAATAATAAAATCAAAACATCGTTACAAAAACTGACCTTGGCAAAACTCGAGTTTATATAGATACTAGCGGACGTTTCGTAAAATCGGTTCTTAGCTGACCTCTACTCGGCGAAAGGTATATTTCTACCAAGTCTTCCAGAGATATCGTGATGAGTCAATTATCGGTGGAAATCTCTTATATATTTATAAATTTTAATTATATTATAGAAAATAAATAAACTTATGCATACAAATGTTTAAAAGTACTTTATTGAGAACTGTAACGGGTGAATGTGATTGAAAATATGCTGCCCTCTATAAAAATTAGCGGGCGGCTACAAAGGTGTGACTTTTGTGTTACATCTTAAAATTTCACCCTCTTCATATTTTCATAAAGCGCCTAAAGAAGCATAACTTAAAAAAAAAGTTTTGCGCTTCCTCATGTGAAACGCGTACAGTACGTCACCTTATTCTAATAAAACAGAATAAATATCATCAAAATAAAGTCTCATCACAAACAATTGTAATACTGCTCGTAATTTGCAAGCATTACACTTAACAAGTACGAGTTTCTGATTTGTTATCAGGGAACTATAAAGTACCCGCATATTCACTCATCAAGCCACGATTCTAACGTAGTATATAGTCGTTATAACTTTAATTATTTTGAAGTGAATCCAATATACATTGGGTTCATAGGATATATGTTTACTTCTCTAAAGAAATATGTGTTCATTTCTTTATAGCTTTACCTCGCCAATTTAACATTAATAACTAGAATGAAAAAGAGGCGAACATAAAAAAAGTATTTTATGGCTTTGTAGACTTTTTATTAACCTTGAATAAACGGCTAAGTTAAAAATAATATTTAATAATAATATTCTTTTCGGTCATTGTTCACTTTGTGTTTTCACAATCTATCAGGGTGAATGTTTATAGATTTACAACAGGTATTATAGCCCTTTATAAAACTTGATGGATTTATACCATTTTTATCCAAACATTTTAAGCAATGATCCAGACGAATCAGTTTTATTGATTTGTACGAGTACTATAGTTAACTAGCAACCCTCCCCGGCTTCGCACGGGTGCAATATATTATACATATGAACCTTCCTCTTGAATCACTCTTATCTAGTAAAAAATCTGCATCAAGATCCGTTGTGTAGTTTTAAAGATCTAAGCATACATAGGGACAGACAGACATCGGGACGCCTTTGTTTTATACTATGTAGTGATGCACAGCAAAGAAACGTTTACATTTCAAGTGACATTTTACACAGTCACTCACTTGTTTTTCCTTCCCAGAACCCCTCAACTTAAACCTTTTATTATTATTACGAATCTTTCTTTAGGGGAATATAGAATAGTGCTGTTTTTAGACTTTTTCTTCTTATTCTTTATATATATACTTATATCTTAGTTACGCCATCAAATTCAAAAAATTGCCTGAAAAAGTCTTGATAATTAAGTTGTTTATCAAGAAATTTGTGAAATGATATCATATTATTCCGACTTTGAATGTTGCTTCCAATCAGGTATTCAATTAAATAATCGTTAATTAAACTAAAAATCTTAATAGATAAATTCACGAAAACGTGCGTAATTCGTCCAGGCGCTCTAGTTAACTGAGAACTCGCGAACTCGCGAAATCTCGACCTACAAATATTAGCTTCACTTTGTTTCATCGAGCTAAGAAGGTAAAAATATGAATACTTTTATCAAATCAACGTAGTTTTACTTTGTACGACAGTAACACTGGTATAATTACTTATTTTCACTTTCGAACTAAAGAATCACCACTCTAATGATTTAACATGTGATACCGATTGGGCAGCACTACCGCGTATATCTACTTCTTGTCGACAGCGAAAAAGGATCGTGAAACGCTTTGTGCAGCTTCATTTATAGCACATAAAATGACACTTCTTTTAGTGTTGCCAACACAAACATTACGGGTAAAGTACGCATGATAATTTTATAACAATGATAAAGATTTCATCAGCATATTAAGAAATTGTCGACAACTTATTGATGAGGCCCCTTGACCCTCCTTCCGTATGACACATTGTTGCTTAATCCAATATGTCGACCAGCGGACGGAATGGATTGCCTCACTCGCAACAACTTGGTTGTTCATCAATCACCGACGAGCGGTGGATTGAATGTTACAGCGCTGAAGGATCAATTCGACTAGACCCTGTATTGGTTGATCCTGATGGATAGCAGGCTTAAAGGTATGATTAGGGTCGCTTCGTATAGGTTATTTTTTTAAAAATCTGGATTTTTATACGATGTACGCAAATTAATTAGTCAAATGAAACCTTGATGGTTTGGGATTAGAGTGAAACGTAGGTGCTCAAACAGAAGAGACAGGTGCAACGTGCGTTTTTTAGTGGGTCACCGTTTCATACACCGTTTTTATAAAGGATTTTTCCCAGGTAAAAAAAAAAGTGTTCAAACCTTCACTTTATTTAAAAACAATAACGTTCTTTCGGTCGTCCTGATGCCGTAGAAATCCTTCATGGTCAAATCAATCTTCTACACGCTTCTACACTTCTTCTCCTCTTCTGATTTAGGCTACACTTCATGCCGGCGGTCACTTGTCCTTAAATATACTGCTGAAACATTTAGCTTAGTAATTTAACAGCCTTTACATGCATGGCCTACTGCTGAGCTAATCTGTTTACATAGTTAATATAGTTAATAATCGTCAAATCAATCAATATTAATGGTCCGGCGTGAATTATAAATTTAAAAGAGTTTTATAATGTGTCAATGTTACCTCAGAACTATGTTGTTATTCATGACCCGATTTTAAAATTTCTTTTTCATTGTTTGGGTTAGGTCCCATGTGGTCCCATATAAATTTCGTTGGTATTGGAACTTGGGCTCCGGAGATACGGCAGAGAACTCCTGAAAACAAATTATAAAACGAATATAGAGCGACATATGTACAGGACTTGTACGATAACATCAATATTTATAAATCAAGGTTTAGTAGGAATGGATGGTTGAATAAAACCATATTATTAGCACTTTGCAAGTCCAATTGACCGCTTCTTCAAATCAAATCTCGCATATCCTGTTTGGAAGAGAGGCGCAGATGACGAACAAAACATATTATAAGTGGAACATCCCAACTGGATTGCTTCTTTGGCATAACAATCCGCCTTTCCATTTCTATGCATACCACCACAATGCCTGAAATCCATGCTAATGTACTTCTAAGGCAGCACAAAGTTAATTTATTTGCAATTTTAGAAAATTTTACTTTTGTTTAACCTAGGGTAGGTATTGAAAATGTTCCAAAAGGAAACAAAATGAAAGGAAATAACTTATAATGTATCTCAATATTGTAAAAAAAAGTAATATGAAATTATTGTCAATACATTATTACAAGTTATAAGACTAAAGAATGATACATATAAGGTGAAAATATCTAACGAAAAAGGCATTATGTATGTATTCGTACCGGTGATAGATAGGCCCAGGGCAAGTAATGTTTACAATAAAAAGTATTTTTTAATGATGCGGGCGCTTATATTATTTTTGATGCAAAACCCGGTCGTGCACCTTGCAATTAAAAAACACACCGAAAGAATGATAAATTCAATAGATCGATCATTGTTTTAACGTGATAACGTTATGCTAAATTTAAAACATAACGCTAAAAATTAAAATGAGGCAAACGTGAAACATACGACTTCATTTTAACTTGTAGAACAGTCAATATTGGAGTTTAAAAAATGGATGTTGACAGGCCCAACGATTAGATTAGAACGTATATCGACATTTTATTAGGATTTTCGTTATAAATGGTAAAATATTTTGATTGAAACTTTGGTAAAAAGGATCACAACAGTGAAAAATAAGCCGTATACTGTTTATACAATGTTTAAAATAAAACTATTACAAATTTTATACTATTCTCATTGGCATATTTACTGTGTATGTAATTCGATGTACACGTGTTTCTATATCTGGTTTTTTAAATCTACTTTGGCTAAGTGTAAAAACTTTTTCGAGATAATATTTTTTACGAAAGACACTTTTTTGATTGATTTCTGCAAGTGACAGTCAAGGGTGCTTTTGCTTGTCGCCGAGCTCCTAGTGACTCTCCAGGGATCACGTGTTAACCACAAGTGTGCAATAATCCTTACTAATATTATAAATGCGAAAGTTTGTATGTCTTGATGGATGTTTGTTACTCTTTCACGCAAATATTACTGAATTGCATTTAATTAAACTTTACAATAATATAGTTTATACATCAGAATAACACATAGGCCATAATTTATATACATATTTTTAAGTATGTCTGTCTTTCTGTCTGAATGTTACGCCTTCAGCCTATTCTACGCAGACGTATTCGCGGGCAACAGCTAGTAGTACAAATGATACCACTGTTTGTGGAATTGCTGTCCATATACCAACCTTGATGTGGGATGAGGTCATGTCCATAATTTGGTACCTCGCCTAGACAAAGTATCGAATCGATCCAACAACCGGGAACAATAATTTTAAAACATTTTAATTGATTTGGATGAGAAATAAAAGAATTAAAATGAAAAGTTGTTAACAAATGAAAGTAATTTTCATATTTCGTGGAACTATAAAAAAGTACCAGATTGAAAAAACTAATAGCATTTGCTTAAAATAATATAAATATGGATTCTGTAACGTCTACCTAATTTCAACTGTCTAACAATCACGGTTCATGATATACAGCCTACAGACAGCGGAGTCTTAGTAATAGGGTCCCGTTTTACCCTTTGGGTACGGTACCCTAAAAACCGTACATTGTCCCTTATGCACGGAAGTTTTATTAAATTTATCATACGGTGAACATTATCTTTAATTATTGATAGACAAATATATACGAACATGGTTTAAGGGATCTTTTAGCAAACATTAAATTTTTCATTACAAAAATTATTAAAGTTAACTTATTTAATCAGGCTTTCCATAGCGTTCGGTATGGCAAAAATGTTCTTATCGGTAAATATTATGGTGTATATATGCTCTTGTAAAAGCGACTGTAATTAAGTAAACACAGATTGAGCCACAAACTAGGCCGTAAGTAACATGAAACCGTTGCAAATATTTTTTTTAATTTTTGTGCAGCATGTCTTTGGTTCTAATGATTTTCCCATGTACAAAAGCTACAAAAACTATAAAAGTTATAACATTCAAGGTGATCAAAAGAAAATAGAAATTCTGAAAAGCATTTTACAAAGCCGAGACGTAAGTATGATTGCAGTAATATGACATGTAATAATTTCTCATATGTAATTTTATTTTTAGTGCCTGTCTTTGCACTTAAAAGAAACTTTAAAATGTGATTTTTATATTATTGTGGCTCTACAAGAAAGTCACTTGTTAAATAAAATTTCTTAGCCTTACTTAAATTTAGTATTTGACTTATGGCTGTAGTTTAGCCGTTTCTCTAATTGCTATTTATATTGTAAAACCTAGAAAATTATGTATTTTTTTACGTGATACCATGATGCTAAATTTAGTACATTAATTAGAGGAAAATGAGGTGAAACATAAGTTCATTTTAACTTACTACAACAATCAGTAATAAAGTTTAAGAAATGGTTGCATTAAAATCGCCATTTTCAAAACCATAACTTAACCGTATGTACGCAAGCTTTATTGTATTCTATATATGAAAATTTGGAACTTAGCTCATGACAGTATCGTATCCATTTGTCTCATCTAAAGTGTCTTAATGAAATCTTGTTTCTAATAATTTTATCATACTAAACATTGTATCATAATGAAATCTTTCAGAACTCACTTTCATATAGTTACGGTCGCGATGGAAGCGAATTCGTTGTGGCGCCTCATCTAGAGCGTCTTTTTAAAGATACAGTTGCCAAGGAGAATTTGAATGCAACCTTGATCTACGATGATATTTCGAAGTAAGTGAAAATTTGCAGGATAAACAAGAAGTATACATACTACGTGATGTTCTCTAAAGATGTTGCAATACTTGTTGCAGAAAAAATTGGATAGACCAATGATGTGCAAATTAACAATAGGTGACTGTCAAAAAAATATCTGTTTCCACATGTTTAATCACGATATTGCTTTCTAGGATAATACAATTGGAAAAGCCGATGATTCGCGGTAAAAACAAATTCTCGTGGACTGCTTATTACGACATCGACGATGTAAGTAATATCCAATTTAAATCAGTTTATTATAAGTAAAATTATCATAAGATAATTTACTCTATCGATATGATTGTCGATATTAAAAAAAATCAGTATTTAACACTATTCTCTTTTTAAATTTATTTCTTATTCAGTTTATATTATCGCCAATAACAAAAATCTGAGTATTTTCAAAGTAAGCATTACTGTTTCATTCTAATATTTGCTAGCAAAAATTTTGAAATGTAAAGAACTCGACTTAACATCAAACTGAACATAAAAGTCTGTAATTTTTTAGTTAACACAATTTATTAGTTAACACATCGCAGCTCAATGGTTTTGTGACATTTTAATTTCGTACATCTGCGGGGCCCTATTCTAAACATGAACAACAACGTAAGGAAGACCCGGTGGGAGATCTAGTGCCGAAATCTCCACTTTGAATTATATCTGTGGTAGAGCCATACAGTAGCTTCTGCTGCGCCAAAAATGGCGGTTCCTTTGATGCAGTACCACCGTCTCAGAGAAGACCGACACTGATACTTATGGCGCATTTGTGCTTTATGATTACATCAGCTGTCGAGTGTAGGATCCGGGGTCAACTTTCAATTTTTTTATGTGAGAAGGTGGCAAGCGATCTGGCGGTTCACCTGATAACCGCTAAGTATAATATATAATAAGAAATAACCGCCGCCCATAGACATTTGAAACACCCGTAGCTTGTCCGGACCTGTCCATTTGTGCCACAAAGCGTGCGAAAAAGCGCGAGCAGTGCCATATTCGAGTACTTATAACATCACTGCTATTCGTTTCATAGAAAAAAAAAAAAGCTTATCCATACCTAAATTGTGCGTATAATACTATCTTCGCGGTTCAATTCTTAATTGAGTTTAAAAAATTGCGTAAACATTTTTGAATAGCCTACTTCAATAAAAAAAGAAAAACTATCCATACAACCGTTTTCTCCGTGAAATACTATACTGTACCGTTAAATTCTTCCATTTTTCAACGGAAAATAATTGTAAAGAGTATTATAAAGTTGAATAAAATAAACTTGCAGATTCATCGTTACTTGACTAATATGAGTGAGACTTTCTCGAAGTGGTCACAACTTATCGTCGGTGGACGAAGCTACCAGGGCCGCTCTATTCTGGGCTTGCGGATCAACATACCCGGTCTGAACGGTTCACCTAAGCCAGTTATATTCATCGAATCGGGTAAATGCTGATTTTCTAAAAGATAATGAAATATTTGCATATGTATAGGATATATATGCAATATATGGCGGGTTTCACGATTTCTTCCTTGCTTTATTAGCAAAAAAATTTGGGATAAAAGTATAAAAGGCTAATACAGCCACCGCCTCTTCTGTTTTTGCAAGATTGATGGCCGGGGAAGGCACTTCCAGAAGAAAGTTTTAAAATAGAATCATTTATACATTTTAATTGCGTGCTGTATGTAAGTAAAGAACCGCCCATGTATGTTATAACTCAAGTAAGGTTTGGCAACATAACTTTAACTCTTTCTATGCCTCGTCGAACTAGACGTGGATCTTACCTGTGTAAGTAGCTCTAGTTGTTTAGTTGTTTAATAAATGATCCAGTGACACATACAACTATAACATACGTTATTCTTTCAAGTTTATATATATAAATTTGATGATACCTGATCATATATTTAAGGATATCCTTAGATGCTACTTCAAGGTACTAATAAAGAGAGACAATTTTCAAATCTAATAATTTTAAAAATGTCGTGTTAATTCTTTCGAGTTTCAATTGCATATTTTTTTTTTTAAGGTATCCACGCAAGGGAGTGGATAGCTCCGGCCACAACGACTTACTTTATTAACCAGCTCCTAACAAGCACCGATCAAAATATAATAGCCCTGCGAAATCAATTTGACTGGCGAATTTTTCCCTCTGTCAACCCTGATGGTTATCACTACAGCTACACAGTGGTAAAGATTTTTTAAATTATTCAGTGAAACTAATCTAAAACAATTCATGTTCAGTGAACTTAAATAAAATAATATTTGCGTTCATTGTTCGTGAAACATAAACGTAAACATAAAAAGATCTAATAAAATGTCCAACTCTGCTTTTTTCGGAATGTATTTCAGAATTTTAAACGTGAATATATTTGAAACTACCTATTAACATACCTAGAGCACACTACTAACACTCTCTCGTCTTTTAGAAGCGACTGAATCTACTAATTTAATTTTGTAATGGTTTAGACTATCGTCATTTTAATTTTACACAGAATTTTTGACGTAGTCCTTCACTGTTGGCCGTATGAGGAAGCTCAAAGTCGCCCAGCGACTTATGAGACGGGCTATGCTCGGTATTTCACTGTGCGATAGAGATCGCAATGAAGAGATCCGCAATAGAACAAAAATAACCGGCATAATCCGAAGAAGAACCGGCACATCAGAAGATTAGCAAGCTGAAGTGGCGATGAGCCAGCCATATACTCGTAGCATTCGTGTACTGGCCATTGCAGTGCAAGACGACCCCCCACTAGATGGAGTGAAGACATGTGGAAAGTTGATGGACGCAGGCGGCTCAGGATCGTGGTTCGTGGCAGTCTGTAGAGAGGCCTATGTTTAGCATTGGAGTTTAACAGGCTGAAATGATAATGATGATAATGATGATAATGACACACTTTAATTAGGCTCACAGAAGGCACTCAATGTATCTCACCCTGGATATTTTATTAAATTGATAACATAAACCTTTGCCCTCTTACGCGATACTTTTATGTGAATTGATTTAAACAATGTTTATTTACAGGATCGGTTTTGGAGAAAGACCGTTTCGAATTCAAATCATAGGTGCTTTGGAGCAGATCCCAACAGAAATTGGGATTACAACTGGGGACGTAAGTCAACATTTAATGTTCAAGAATCTTTTTTTACTTTCAATGCAAAATAATAATAAAAATGAAGTATTATTGCTTTAATGTACTGAATATTGAAACAGTGAAAGAAACATTGACTTAAATTTAAAAAGAGTACTTACTGTTAAAAATAAGCTCTTGGGAAATCTTAGCATAATACGGGTAGCTACTATAACACCATTGGTGGTCTCAATTATTTTATTGGAATGGTTAATAACGCTGTTCATAACGTATATTCTACGGGACGCACCGGCGCTCATCTCCTCTTAACTAACCGTAAACACAACTAACCTAGTAGGATGCTAATGGTCTCCAGTTTTATGGCTTTTATGAAAGGCAGGGCCTACTGCTCAACTCAGCTGTATTTTTTTACCTCGGACCTATAGGTTGAAAGACTAGCGCAGAGACCATATGTAACTCGTAATGCCTATTTTACTTAAGAGCGTTGATGCAATGATCTAATTGAATCTAACAATGAAGCTTTAATCGAGGGACTTGATCGTAAATATTCGTCGTTTGTTTCCTTTCAGAACACTCATCGACGCATAACCCATGCGACTATGAAACATACGCTGGCTCTAGGCCGTTCTCTGAAATTGAAACTCGATCGCTATCCTCATATATCCAGAGCATTAATAATCTGATGATGTACATCAGCTTCCATTCATACGCTGCGATGCTGTTAGTCCCATTCTCCGATTCCACAGAACATGTACATAATTACAATGACCTGGTAAGTTACTTTGTTACAATGACACGTTGTCACCTTTTACTTTCAAAGTTATATTCAAATATTATTTTATTACGAATTTGGTAAATTCATTTTATTTTGTACCAGCAACCCGCTCCGGCTTCGCACGGGTGCATTGTATTATACATATAAACCTTCCTCTTGAATCACGGTTTTTTTACTAGATAAGTAAAAAAACCGTATCAAGATCCGTTGCGTAGTTTTAAAGCACACATATGGACAGACAGACAGCGGGACGACTTTGTTTTTACTATGTAGTGATAATTTGCTAAATAAACAACTCCGATTGCTGAGCGAAGTTCCAGTTGTGTCATGTTTTGGCAACATTTACTAGTATTAAAAGAGTTCTAGTAAATGTTGCCGTACACTTGACACAAATATGAGGCAATAACGGCATTTTAATTAAGAAAAGTTTCTTTGACCAATTTTGTTTTATCAAAAATAATTTCGCATTCTTATTTATCCTGTGTAGCCGTAGAAAGCAAAGTAATTTTAAGTTTTTAATTCTTTAAAGATATATTCCTGACCTATCTTGAAGACATCAGCTTCTGTTTTCATTTCATATTTTATAACATATATAAATATCAAGGATTCAAGGAATTTTATCCTGCAATGTTACTGATCATGGACGTAGTAATCGTGTACAAGTAAAAACAATTTTTGCGTATCTGTCGACTTGGTTATGTTGTTATATAGATTTTTTGAACATTTCTCCCAAGATTTAAAAAATGTAATATCATCATTTTATATAAATAACATATATAAATGACAAAATTAAATATAGTTGAATTTATATATGTGTTCATAATTTAAATAAATATTAGCTTAGTAGCAAGAATTATTAAATTATTCATTAGACATTACCGATGGAGTATAAACTTGCTTTGCATAATGGATGAATCAAGATTCAAGCTCAAGAGCTTAAGGGAAACGTGGAAGTTTTTTATCGGTGAAATAAAATGAATGAGAACAGAACATGAAGGACATTTAATATCGGGAAAATGGATAACATAAAGACTTTATTAAAATAAATGTGGGAATTATTCATTCACGGCATCTTTAGTGTATCTGTAGTGTGTAGAGAAAAAAACGGCGTAAAATAATAATTTTATTCAATGTACTGATTAAAAAAATAATAATTTTAGATAAGAGTTGGTAAATCATCACTCGACTATGGTTATAGTTTCAACAAAAATAAAAGATACAAGGGACCTGCCACGGCGGCGGAGTTACTATGTGAGTTATTTTTATCCTAAATAAAACTACCCAAAAATGAGTCTAGCGAAAGAGAACTTTACATGGGAGAAGGTGGCAAATCAAAAGATCGTGCACCAATGTTAAGATATGTGCAGTGTATTGAAATTCGCAACACCAATGAAATAACTAGAGCATTGCCAATTCTTCAAAGTCGTTCTCCTGTTGAGTGAAGAAATTCTTCTCCAGACGAGCTGGCCTATTCAAATTCAAAACTTAAACCACGTTACTTAGAATCAATTTAGATTTATTTTTAATCAGAACGTCAAACAAAACCAGATGTGTTTTATATTTTACTTTCTTTGTATGCCAAATTCTGAGGTTCCTCTAATTGCAGATAAAGCTTCAGGCGGCAGCATGGATTGGGTCCGCCATACTTTAGGAACACCACTGGTTTATACCTATGAACTGCGTGGAAACTCTTTCCACTGGCCACCATCTAGAATCCAGGAACAAGGAGACGAAGTCACTCAAATGATCCTGGGATTGGCCACCGAAGCGAACAAGTTGGAATATTATTAACTCACAAGAGTAATTAAACTATACATACAAATTTTCTTTATGCGTCAGTCAAATTCTTATCATTATTAATTAGTTATAAATAAGTTAAATAAATATTCATATTATCATAGTTTTTGTTTACCAAATCCTTCATATAATATTCTCTCAGCGAAGAACCAAGTTATGTCGGACTCACACTCACGGTGGTCGCCATCTGCTCTAATCACGGGATCTCCACACTACCGCAGCCCCTCCTTAGCTTGCCTATGATAGCCCTTTCAGGGACGGGATTACGCTGGCCTCAGCATCCCCGCGGTGGAGACTACTTAAAGCCACCGACCTCCTTTAGCGGGCTTGACTGGGCAATTAAGGGCTTCACCCCAATCGCTCATGACCTATGAGGCCCTGTTTCTGGTAGGGGAGCATCATTTTCGTTTGGAGGGCCTTGACGAGGTGTATAGACGCTTCGGTGGCTCCGTCTCTGAGTGGGATCAGTTCTTTCTCGATCCCGCTCAGCAGCCTCTTTCTGGACCATCACAATCTCATAGAAAGACGCTACGGTACTCTCATCATCGCCGAAACGACTGCTGGCAGATTGAGATTTCGCTTAATATGGCCCACCAAGACACTTCGCTCCGTATCCCAGGCGGAGAACAACGCCAAGGGATGCGTTACGGAGTCTTCGTTGTTTCCACCACAGTGGGAGCAAATCGCCGTCGCCTCACGTCCATTCTTCCACAGATAATCACTAAAGCATCCATGCCCTGTGATCATTTGTGTTAGCCTGTAGGTGAGTCTATCCTCCCGCCGCTGCATCCAGATATGGAAGACCGGCAGGAAGGCTTCAATGGCATGCTTATGCGCGTATTGCTCTTGTCTGAGCTGAGAGCGCCACGTTGCGAAAACTTTTCGCTGTAACTGCTGTTTGATGGATTCAAACGCCTCTTCTGGCTCACTGCCACTACTCTGACGGAGGGCGCGTTTTCGTTGGTACAACCACGCATCCATTTCCATATCCAGGGATGGGAAGCGAGACAAGACAGTTGACGCCTCGAATGATGTAGTTCTATACCCACGTACGACCCGTATAATCATCGTCTAGGCTTTTAGGCTTATAGGCTGTTACTTTACTTTTAACTTTTATAAATAGACTAGCGGCCCGCCCCGGCTTCGCACGGGTAACAAAAAATAAAAAAATTTAAAATTATCATACACACACATAAAACCTTCCGAATGTTTCGTCTGTGGTGAATAATTTTATGAATTTCTTAATCTTTTAATGAAATATCCTTGAAATTACGTTATGAAGATCGAAATATCGCTGACCAGATAATGGTCCCGCTTTAATTACGGGACATTCGGGGTTACACGTAAAAGTGACAAATAAGTCTGGCCTCCCATAGCTTTAGACATAAATCATCGCATCTTTGATTTTTTAATGCAGATAATTCGGAGAAGCTGTAAATGAATATGACGTTGCAGATTACGCGTTGACCGATATTTGATGGGCCAATGTCTTGATTTAAAGCATCTCTAAGATGAATGTTTCACCAGCCCTTAGTCTCTGGTTATTACGACATAATATGTAATTCAATCTTTCTGATATCTTTTTCCATCATATCGACAATGTATTGAATAAAAACCGGCCAAGTGCGAGTCGGACTCGCACACGAAGGCGACCACACAGAAGACCGGGGTAAAATAGAAGTGTTATACTTCTACTTTTCGGCTGGTGAGGGAGGTTGCCGGGGCCCACTTTATTTAAAGATGACAACTCATTTGCAACCCTACAGGTGTTGCAAATATCCATGGGCGGCGGTTATTACTTCACATCAGGTGAACCGCCAGATCGTGTGCCACTCTATCACATTAAAAAATCATGTTTTAATATCTTTATTCAATATAGAAGTATTACTCTTACATATAGTCAAAAACACTACTGCTGTCAACATTATCTATAAAACCGGCAAAAAAATCATGTCTATTTTATGGGAGCCCCTCTTATTTATAATTTTTTTGTTTTTTAGTATTTATTGTTATAGCTGCAACAAATGACAACGAAATACATCGTTTGTGAAAATTTCAACTCTAACTATCACGGGTCATGAGATACGGCCTGGTGACATATGGACAGACATACGGACATACAGACGGACAGCGGAGTCGTAGTAATAGGGTGCCGTTTTACCCTTTGGGTACGGAACCCTAATAAGTCCCAGTAATAATGTAATGGATTAAAACAGATAGCTCTAACCATCAACCTAAATGCATAAAATTGAAATACATCGTTTGTGAAAATTTCAACTCTATCACGGTTCGTGAGATACGGCCTGGTGACATATGGACAGACATACGGACAGCGGAGTCGTAGTAATAGGGCGCCGTTTTACCCTTTGGGTACGGAACCCTAATAAGTCCCAGTAATAATGTAATGGATTAAAACAGATAGCTCTAACCATCAACCTAAATGCATAAAATTGCATGCATGTCACAGTTTTGTTACACACAGTACCTTGCTGAGGAATAGTCAAATATTAACCGTCTTCTCCTATTACGACTAATAAGAGATATTTTAGTGGATCATACAATCGGTGTAACTCAGAGACCCTTTTAAGTTGGCCGTGTCTACCGTGCAATATATCTCTAGGGCCTTTTTAGGGTTCCATACCCAAAGGGTAAAACGGGACCCTATTACTAAGACTCCGCTGTCTGTTTGTCGCTCTGTCAACAGGCTGTATCTCATGAACCGTGATAGTTACAGATTTGAAATTAGATTTTTGAATTTAGGTTTTGTGGGTATTAGTTTCCCAAGGAGGCTTGACGTCAGGCAGAGCGGCTGGTTGTATAAATATAGTTGTGCCGATCCCACCTAGGTGGGATAGGGGCAGGAGGATAATGATAACTTGTATACTTGTCCCTCTATTTTAAAAGTTCACGTTAAACGAAATCATTTGAAAGAAGCTATTGCACTTTCGAATATTGGTTAAAAATGTCCAGATGGTGAATGATATTTGTTAAAAGATTTTTTATTGGCTGTGGCGGCTCCTCAATATTGGTGAGACTAACTTTTCCAGAAGCACAGCACATACCATTTGGTTCATCGACCCATTTTTTGGCAGAACACTTAGAGCAGATCTTATTCATGGCTCCGATTTGGACAAAAGACTGTTGAGCTTAATGCATTAAAGCTGATCTGTTACTGTGAGCTAAAAGTCGATTACGATCTCTAATCGTTGACGTTTGTTGTCTTTCCCTCTAATCTCGTAGGCGTTGGGAACGCTCATAACTCGACTCCCTAGTGTGAATTTGTATATTTATATTAATATGCTCTTCAAGCCGTTGCAAACACTACTTGACTCTCTCCGACTTTTAAGGCTATTTTCAGTTTCCGGTAAAGATTCCTCATTACGACGTATTTTTGATGCCCTCGCCTGGAAACTATTTCTAGAAAGATGAGATCTTTAAAATGTTAAAAAAAATTAAACTGCCTTTGTATTTAATAATATGCTAACTATCGAACAGGAATTACCAGTATAAATGTGATTGAAAAATTATAAGAACTACTAAGTCAGTCACTAAGCTGTTTGGATAGTTAAATTCCAATATACTAACATTTTTAAACTTGTAATATCTCTCGAATGTAATGTCCGAATTTAATAATTCAAAAAGTTATATAAAGATATTGAAACAGCCTTAAATATGAAGTAATTTATTTTTATAAGGATTAATACCAAGATACAAATAAAGAGCCTTTTCTAGAGGCGGCATTTCAATCAAAATTTTAAAATAAAATAACACTTATTGTGGCATAACCATAATAGTTAGACATATGCTGTCGCGACACTTTTTGTAAATAATGATGTGTTCTGCAAAGCCGTAGTACATTATTTTATTCTATCATCAATAGTTTTGGCAGCGCACGCGATGTAAAGAATATTTTTGGTAATTTTTGTACACTTTGGGTTACATTATTGAAGTTTTAGTAAGGATCTCTATTTTTTTTGAAAATATAATATAGCCTATATCAAGCAGGGATAATGTAGCTTCCCAACAATGAAAGAATTTTTCAAATCGGTTCAGTAGTTTCGGAGCCTATTCAATACATACAAACAATCAAATCTTTCCTCTTTATAATATAGAAGATACGTTAAAAACCTTGCTATTTTTTTAATTGGCGAAAGTGTAAAAATTTAACTAATTTTATACTATACAAACTATGTAAGCCGTTCCTAGTTTTATATTGAGGAGTTTCTAAGTGCTAACACAATTAACGGTTCGCTTGTAATTTCCACCAACCCAAGTTTGAACTCAAAAGGTTCCCAGTGAAACAATTATGTAATTGCTGATCTATTTGCTGCTGTAACTACTACAAATGTCACCAATTTAATTCTGAACTGATTACAGTTAGTCGGAGTTGCTTAAACATTGATGTAGAACATTGATATACCTTTAAACGAACAATTCTTGTATATAATTATGTATATATTTAATTGGAATCTCGGAAACGGCTCCAGCGATTTTCATGAAATTTAGTATGGCCGCAGATTCGGGGGCGAAAAATCGATCTGGCATGAAAAATATCATTCGAATACGACGTAAATAAAAAAATGTTATAATAGCTCGGTCGATAATCGGGCGGCCCCGAAACAGCAGGCCGTGGTTCGTGTCACGATGATTTATTTCTTTACTTTTTTTTCGATCACAGATCATTGCTTTCTTTGTTTTTTTTTTTTGTTGATCCAGATGATTTTGTTATTTTTCCCCTATTTTTAAAGTTCTTTCTTTTGTAGTTCGTTCTTTTTTTACTCAGTAATTTGTATCTATGTAATTTCCAAAACACATGTTACAAAAATAAATATCGAGCAAAGCTCGTTCCTCCAGGTACTGTATAATTGTCGACCAAAGAAAAGCTTGTGAATTCTAATTTTTTTACCTAAAACTTAGTCTAAGGCGGTCTGTTATTACGGTCTGCTAGTAGATGTTTTGGCAAGTTATGGCAGCTAGTCTAATACTACATTCTTAGATAAGTATATTAAATAGAATTTTAGTAAAAAGTTAACATAAGGTCAAACTTTATTTATAGATTTAGTTCCTTTATTAAATTCACAGTGAAGTGTATTTGTCTCAAACCTCAAGTACAACATTTGACTTACCTACCCATTTTATTACAATATTGGAAATACTTTTAGGTATTTGCAGTTTGAATTAATTTGGCAGTAATTTCTGTGAACTATGAAGTAAAATTGAATAAAATATTCAACGTACAATTTAATCTTTTCTAAACGCATAATTACCGTACCGTATTTATCACAATTTTTAAAAGTAATAAAATCAATATCGTTTATTTCATAATAAGTTTCTAGTACTTAACAAAACCCTTATACTTAAAAGTATGTTT